GGACTTCAACTCCCAGAATTCCTCAGCCAGCTGGCTGAGGAATTCTGGGAGTTGAAGTCCACAAGTCTTAAAGTTGCCAAGGTTGGACACCCCTGCCCTAAACTGTCTCCTAAACAGCTGTCAGAGTGGCCCACTAAGCCCTGTTCTTTTTAGTCCTTTCTTTCCCTCCCCTCAACTACACCACTGCTAGTATCCCTAAGTTTTCCCACTGACCCAATTCCCAGATTTTCCCTGATCTGTTTTCCTGGCTTTTCCTGTTCTTCCTTTAACCCCAAAACACAAATTTCATTGTGGTCTTTATCCAAAACAAAACAGCCATGTTTCACTCTGTATCTACACCAAGCATACATATTTCCTTTGGACATTAATTATCTGAGATGAGCTGTTCCTTATACAGATCATTCATCCAACTCTCTTCCTACGGCTGAACTGCAGCAACTTCTCCCTCCTGTTAGTGAACCAATCTGGATGATCCACCAACGTTGGTGAAGCCCAAAGTGAACAGAAGCTGGACAGGAATCCCATCAATCAGAAGGAAAGTTGCACAACTATATTATCAAATATAGCTATTTCAGGAAACATTCCAACTATTGAAAGAAAATCCAGTGAGCTAGCCTTTATAAGTTCTCCTGAATGCAGAGACTTAAACAATAGTCATTTAACATCCTGGAATTTTGGCTTTTAATAAAAGTGATCTGCTTCAACGCCACAGCCCTGGAAATGTGAGGCTCCCTTATTCTGCAGATCCCTCAACCCACACAAAAATAATCTTTCCATGTAACTGCTGTTCTGAGAGTTTCTCTTTGTGGTGACGCATTTATTTCTGGAGCTTTCCTCCAATCGGATTGCCGCTTTGGTGGAAGCAGCCAGAAGATGAAGAAGGTGGGAGGGAACATCCCAAAGTAACTTACTTTCAACTATAGTCCTTCGCCCAGTTCCATCATCATTGATTTGCTGGATGTTGCCAAAGTGAATGTCACTGTAGAAGATGCGGTTGCTGCCCTTGCTGCTATAGCGGTAATCAAAAGCCAAGGCAATGACGTTTTTCATGTGCTCGCTGTCTTCAAACGGCTTAATGGGTGCATTGAGATTGTTCTCATCGGATAAGTGGATACTTTTGAGAATGGTCCGTTCTGAATAGAGCAGGTACCCATCATAGTCACGGCAGGTTACACCATCCTCAGAGAGCATTCCGTGGGCACAGGCACAGGTCCGCTGACCTCCTCCTCGATACAGACACAATTGCTGACAGTCGCCATTATTCAGCGCGCACACATTGGTACCTGTAGAAAAGGGATACGAGGAAAATCAGCCAGCGTTAGGTTGGTTTACAACCTGCTTCTACGTCTCTGGAGGTTTTAAACTCAGGTAACAAATTCCATCTCCACTGCCCATACTGCCCCTCAGCCCCTTCTGTGTGCAGGAGTCTTCACATACCCTTTTGCCTGGCTCTGTTGAACACCTTGATGTCCTTCAGCTGCACTCCTATTCCTGTGCGTAGAGACACAATTTCTGATGCATTGTCCTTGCTGCCCCTCTTAATGGATCCATTTGCATGAGTCCTAGGAGGAGGCACAGATAAGCATGCAACTATGAGATATTCTACTCTGCCAGCATAGCTCTTGCATAACAAAACACAACGAGGAAAACTATTGTTTACAACACTGTGCCAGAAATCTTCAGTTCACACGTATGCTTAAACGGGCATGCATTCTGATATATTAATTATCTTACACACAAATATTATGGGTATCCATCCATCACCTCAATTAACAGATCTAAAACTGGACACAGGCACATGTGTATCTGTAAAACTCAGCATGTTTCCACTTCAAAAGACCGAATTAGGTTTGCATGGAAGGGGTTTGAGAAAGATGTAACAATATAATTCCGTAACGAATCTAGTTCTATCTGAACATGGAAGAAATGCAGTTGCTTGCAAAACACTTCCAGACATGACCCACAGCACCAAGACACAAACCTGTCACTCCAGTAGACGTAATCCTCAAAGACAGATACTGAGAACATATCCATGTTGTTACTGGATAGGACAATCTCCCTCTTATCACCGGTCTCTAGGTCGATGCGTTCAATCTTATCTGTCCGGGCATCACACCAGTAAAGTTTCCCATCCTAAAAAGAGATCCAGATGACAGTCCATCTTGCAAGTGATGTAACATAATGAAAGATACCAATGTGAATGTAAAATGCAGGCAATCAGTTCCCAACCATTTATCATTTCCCCTAAGTTCAAATCACATCCCAACAAGGAAATAAATGGACATATGAACTGCTGTTACTCCAGTGGGAGGGAGATTGTTTAAAGCCGTGAAAGATCAAAAATTGAGGCAGAACTGAGCAGGACTCCAACTGAGCAGGTGACGTTGCTAGGTTCCTTTTCTTAACACAAACAAATGCTTGGCAATAGTGGTGAATATCTGTATCTGAGGTGTAGGATGAGAGTAAAGGTTCATTCTCTGAGTTTGTGGGTTGGTTTCTGAACGTTTCATTACCAGGCTTAGATAACACCTTCGGCAACAAACAAATTTGTTCAACAAACAAATGCTTTGCAAAAATTCGGATTTTGCTGGATTGAAGAATTGCAGAATGATCGTGTATGAATTTTAACTTGCCATGATGCTGAATTATGTTTTTGTGTTAAAAGCACATAATCCTATTTATTTGCTGTTTTTCTAAGGGTACAATGGGGCAAGGCATTCCCAAGGTGCTAAATGTCCCACTCAGGGAAGTTCATTTCTCAACTATGATTTTTGGTTGGACAGACAGGCATGTTAGACTGTGTCTAACGCCCACAGTCCCAGGACCTTACTTCATAATCAACAGAAATCCCATTGGGCCAGCTGATGCTGGTGTTGATGAGGACCACGCGCTCTGTTCCATCTAGCCGAGAACGTTCAATGCGAGGATATTGGCCCCACTCTGTCCAAAAAAGGTATCTGAAAGAGAGGACACAGACAGCACCGGAACAGTTAGCGTATCATGTGTTCAGCCAGTTGCCACTAGTTTGCCATTTTTAATGGTAGTAAAAAATAAAGGAATAAAGCAAAAAGTCAATCCAATGTCTATACCAGATCTAGGAGTAGCCTTTTCCAATTGGATGGCCTTTAAAGCATTCCCAACACCGGGAGTCTTGCCTTTCCCCAGTTCCAATCCATCATCATTTAAATGCTACAAATATGCTCCCAACCTGTTCCTATTATGACCAGTCTAAGAAATCGCATTGAATGTAAAGGAACCTTACCCTTTCTCTGGGTGTACTGTAATGGCACGTGGTTTATCCAATCCTTGTGAAATCACTACATAGCGGAATGAACCATTGAGCCTGGCGACTTCAATGACATCAAAGCCCTGGTCTGTCCAATAGATGTTTCCTGGAGGGAAAGAGATACAAGATCTGGACTTAATCGACTGCTCCTTCCTCTGTTTCTTGTGAGAAGAAGGGTTTCCTTCCCACATTCAGTTGCTGTTGCTTGCTCATCTACGCAGCCACCCACCTGCAATCCAGTCCACGGCAATCCCTTCCACTCGGCCAATGCCATTGGTCACAACATCCTCTCGCCAGGTCTGGTCCCGTTTGGCTCGACTGATTGTGCTCATACCCATGTCCACCCAGTAGATTGTGTCATTGTCTGAAGGAGAGAAAAATACATATGGGAGATTGAAAGAGGAGGTTTGGTGTGATTCTATGCAAGGAGCAATTATTATTTGAGTCATCTGATAATCCCCCAAATGGGTTCCCCAAACCCATTTCTTTTCAGCACCTGACAGTACATTCAAATCAGTAAAAGCAGAGTAGCACCTTTAGTAGGTCTCGAACATCTTTAGCCACAAAGACCATAAACAAAACATCTTAAGGAAAGTGCACAATCCCAGGCTTGAAGAAGTTAAAGTTTAATTCTATTGTTAAATCCTGGTATAATGTACACTGATAATTTATCTAGCTAGCTGCAGTATTAATTAGTGTTATGCATATCATTCTAAGAATACTATGGAGCATGAAACACACTTAAGAACTAATTTATGCTTAATACACAGTTGTTTCAAGGCTAAGACTTTGTCCTCATCAAGAAACAAATCCCTCAGAATAGTTCTTTTTCTTTTTGCATACTTTCACCATTTTAGTAAAATGCACTAAATTTATTTTGTTCAATATGTGTTCTTCCCTGAATTAAAGTGAATAGGCACAGAGTTTGTTCACATCAGCTGTAATATCTTCCATCAACGTAGCTTCTCTATCCTTCTTCAGACGGTTGTTCTTTTATCCTTCTCCAACTGAGGGTCCCCAAGAGGGCTAATCCATTGCAGGTATGCACCACCTACCAGCATGGAAATCAATGCCGACAGCCAGTGAAGTCCCAGAGACTGGCACCAGTGCATCAGACTTGTCATTGGGATCCAATGGGATGCCACGGATGCCCTCATGTACCGAGTAGAGGAGGAAAGAGCCAACACCTGCATGGAAAAAGGAAACAGTCACAAGCTTAAAAAGTTTATCAAAAGGATAAAGAGATACAAGGAAGTATGTATAGAATGGAAACCTTTATATGCAAATAATCTCAGGTTCTATTCTGAGCATCTGATCTCAAAGAATTTCAGTCCACAGAGCTGGCCTAAAAGCCTGCCAGGAGAATTCCAGACTAAAACAATCTTCCCTAACTTGGATCTGTCCAAGTTGTTTTGCTCTATAACTCCATGAGTTCCTGCCAAAAGGCTGGAAAAAAGTGAAACAAGCAAAATTTCATTAATGACAACAATTCCTTAACAACAGCTGGAGTTGTGAAAGACAACCCACACAAATTTTTGTTACAATCAAGAAGGGACCAAGGCCTGTTTCAAGCTTCTTGAATTTAGATAGCATTTGTTTTTCAGACTTTCAGGGTCTGCTTTCCTCTATAGTCTGGTAGATAAATTATTTTCAATCTGGAGAGTTATGCTATGATTTTTCATCCTGTGGGGTTAGCAAAGGCCAAAATTTTGGGACATTTCAATAAATCTCTTAAGAAGCAAAATTAATGCTCTGAGTTTTGTAGAAGTGAAGTATTCCGTTTCCTCCCTTAATTTTACCATTCTGTCCACCACTTTCTCACAAAAAAATTGGCCCAGTATTTTGTGGGGTTCTGTTGCTTTTACAAAATGCAAAGGACACAACGTTCATTTTAATTTTATCTGGGATCTATGTGAATGTATAGAATATGTGTATGTGAACAAAACTGAGCCAAAATTAGTGAAAAGAAAGAAGGGTTTTTTTTGTTGAAAGTTGGAATATGGAAACAATAAAACATAATTATTATCTTTAATTCACAGTAATAATTGTCTCCAGTCAATTATTACTTAAAAAGATAAGCAAAATCAATGTTGATTGAAATGTGGAGGGGAAAAAATATTTTTTAGCTGGACTCTGTTTTTCCTTTGAAAGGAAGCACTAAACAGTTGCCAGGAATTCCTCAACAGGAACTAAACTATTAACTTAGTATTGTCAATGTTGGCCTGTACAAATAATATTATGGTAATAATGATAATAGGTATTCCTTTCTAGTGTCTTATCACATTTGCTGCCACCAAAATTATGAGACCATGATTAGGATAGGACCCATCATCCACAGCCTTCTTAGAGTGCCTCCCAGAAAAGGGAGAGTAGAAAGATGAATCTTATATATAAATGGGCTTTCTGAATATCCCTTTTAGAATATGCCTTTCTTTGGACGGGTGTAAGATTAATTGCTATATCCCGAAAATTAGGTGGGAGGGGGGAAGAATTGTCACGGATTGTATCCTATCATTTTTAATCCTGCAATTCTATAGTTTTTTCTCCTTCACATCTTAGAGGCTTCATCCCACTTCATCTATTTTAGGTGACGCCAGTGTTTTTCTCCCCATCATCTACTCTACATGAAAAATAAATGTGTGAAGAAGACAGAATATATATTTAGAAACACATTTCTTGAAGGTAAAGAAAGCCAGGACTGACTGCAAACTTTCCATTAAGCACATATGCAATTAAGGTCAACTTTGCCATCTCAAGATATACGGATAACACTATGGGAAGCTCATTAGAGGCCTCAGTGAGAAAACTCTAGAAAATTCCACGGGCAGCAGAGGGAGCTGCCTTTTCAAGATTCATAGAGGCAAACAAGTCAAGTGCCAGGAATGGAGACCAATTCCTGCAGGTCACATTCAGACAGAACTGCCCCTTGTAATTGTTCACCTTCGCAGGACTGCTGCCCAATCTTCAGGCTGTAGCCAGCTGTACACATGCAGGAACGAGTAGTGTCTGATGTAGGAAGGCAGAGTTGTGAGCATTCACCGTTGTTCACACTGCAAGGGTTGACACCTGAAACCATAATAACAGCAAAGTTAAAAGGGCACAATTACCAGATCCACACAATGTCAAAGTCCAGATTTTCTTTTGCAATCCGATGACCATATATATCGTAATTTACAGCCAAACAAAAATCAAAGAAGGAATTAGCAAGTAGATGTCTCCAGGCATGAGCACTTCTGAAGTTTCCCTATATGAGATCTTCTCCCTCCAAAATGAACCAATTAGTTGATTTTAAAAAGCCAACAACAACTTCCCACACCATAACTAGATTTTGTATCTCAATTGAAAATGCTAAATGTCATGAGTCCTTTGAGACTGCCAAGAGTTTTGCAAGATTTGGTGATGTTACCAGACTTCAATCAAACTTTTGGGTAAGTACACACTGTCCCATAAAGACATGGAAAGTCATGGGCAGTGGTACAGTGAAAAAAGTGTGGTTCAAAATGCCACCTTCAAAACTAGATTTCCTAGGATTGTGCAGGCAGATTATGTCGACTTAAATTCACACCATTTATTTATTTATTTTGGTACTGCCTGACCTAGGAATCTCATGAGTCTCCATTATACTTCCTTGCAACCTACTTCTTCAGTCTCTCCTCTTGTACTAAGCAGAGCTACCCAACATCAGTACTTCAAAAGCCCCCCACACTCACCCTGTTGCTGGATGATCTCATCATAGATTTTCATGTGCATTACAAGAGTGGTGCTGTTGCGCAACACGACTGCCTCCGATCCATCTTTCTTGTTGCAGGTACCCATTTTTTCAGAGGCCTGGTCAGCCCACCACAACTTATCATCTAAGTGAGAAAGGGGAAGTGTACACATGCCATGAGGGAACTCACAACTGAAAAGAATACAGTGTGCTCCCCACTTTATAAACTCAATAAACCTAAGTTATTATTACTGATACGATAATTCTTTGCACAATTTTAGAAATCCAGTAAAGAAGTGTTTTATTGTTCCCATTTTATCAATATGGACTTAGGGGAGAAAGTGATGGGAAGTAGAATCGGGTGTGGAATAATTATATCTTGGCCAGAAGACTGAAAAAATAAGAGTTGAAAGATTTTAATTGATTACAAAGAGTGGTTGATTAATCAAAAGAAAGTCTTCCTTGGCTTAAGACAGCAATCTGGACTGGGATTGCTGTTGTTAGGCAACATCATACAGTACAGTATCACATGACTGGGGTGCTTAGCACCGGCAACTTTGGCAGTACTGGTTGCCATCATTAATTGAGGACAACTTCACATGACTGCAACTTCTGATTTCCTGCTGGCTTCCTCATTGACTTTGCTTGTGGGAAGCTGAAGGGATGTTGGAAATTATGATCACTGTGCTTGCAACATCAGCGTAATTACAATCTGGGCACTGAGTGAGCAGATTGTGATTATGTGACTGAAGGGATGCTGCATTGGCCAGAACTATGAGGACCTATATTGTAAGTGCATTCATTCATCACCATGATAACTTCGAACAGTCACTGAACAAATGGTTGTAACCCCAAAACCACCTGTAATCAGTTGGAAAGAGTGGCTAAAACAATATTTTGGGGAGGTAAAGTTGTCCTTACTTACCAATGGTAATTTGGCCCAAATCACTAAGCATCTGAGTTGTGAAGTGCAATGTTGTGTGGGTGCACTGACTTAGAACACCAGTTCTGGCACTGTTAGTTATTGTTAGGCAAACCCCATGCAGTTACAGTATCTTACAGTCACATAATCTTACCACCTGCTGGCTTCGCCATTGACTTTGTTTGTTGGATACCAGTCATAAACATCACAGATAGTAATCATATGACTGCAGGATGCTGCAACCTCATAACTGTGATCTGGTTGACAAGCTTCTGAATTATATCTGAATCATGTGACTATGGACAAAATGCGACAGCCGCAAGTACAAGGATCAGTTGTAAGTCTTCCTTTTTCTGCACAATTATAACTTTGAACAGTTGCTGAATGAGTGGTCATTAAATGAGGAGTAACTACTCTGTAGCACTTGCTGAAATTTTAACCTATATTAAAATAATTAATTTTAAAAGGTATGCTTCTTCATTAAGATGCTTTTCATTTGATTTTTATCCATCAAATACAATGCATTCAAGCACTCTAACCTTGTAGTACTGAACTAGATGAATTTTGTTCCAAACCAGCAAGCCACTTATTCTAATTTAATCATCGGCTATGCTGGCTAGAGCTGAGAATCTTAAGGACCAGGAATTGCACTTCTAATTTTGGGTTGTTTCATTTAATGTATATGTAGACCAACAGGTAAACTTAGTTAAGCTAAGGTAGTTGAATATCAGTTTCCCAAAATTGCTGTAGCATTAGCTATAACTTAGTGGTTTCCTGGTTCTGATATTAGACAGGCAAAGATCTATTGTCATACCTGTGTATGTAAATTAACAAAAAGATTTAAGATGTGCTTCCATACATGTAGCTATAAAATATGGGTATATTATATTAAAAGCATTATTAAAAGCTTTAACAATCATGTTACATTGCATTTAGAGACTAAAAGGAAGGAATTTAACTTTTGTAGCATCTGTTTATTTTAAGACTTTAACTCTTCATAAAATACATTTTTAGCAATGGTAAAATAGATTGAAGAATATAGTTCCCAAATAAGTTATATGAATACTAAAGCAATACAACTTAGATATAGATGCTTCCAACTGGGTATTATGATAAAAACTATAGTGGAGATTTAATTATGGAAATCACAGCCTCAATATGACACCTTTCAAAAACTAATGTAGTAATTTCTGAATCCAGAAGACCACAATGTTTTTGAAACAAAAGGAAAACTTCAGGAAATGAGATCTACGTTCTCTGTTATAAGCCACACAAGGTTCTACATAAATGAGCCCACAGAAACGAGAAATATGTAAGATCTACTCTCCATGCAAATCGCAGCATGGAAAAAAACCACATCTCTTACCCATTATAACAACCACTGTCTCTTACCCATTATAGCCAACGCTGTGGCTTTGCGTAGCTGGTTCTTCATAGTCTCCAACACCTCCAGACCACTGCCATTGAAATTGCATCTATTGATGGTGCCATTGCCAGAGCTTATCCAGTACAGCTTGTTTTCTTTGTAGTCAATGGAGAGCCCTGACATTAAAAAAATATATAAATAAATATATATTATTATTTTAGCAAGGACTAAAAAGAGTAAGCAGTAAGGGAAGATTGTACCTAAACCGTTGTCATGGGTGGCCTTAAAAAGTAATAGATCAATGGGAGGAAGGAGCAAACTGACATTTCTGATTGTATAAATCAGACACCAGCACTGACATTATGGAGATGATGCAAATTGTATCATTTCCATGAATTTTATTGTCATTTCCACATAATGATACTACTACACAAATGAAGCAAATGACTTCCATACCAACAGGCCCTTTTTGGTTTGTGAAGAGAAGGCTGTGGTTGCTTCCATCCATGTTGGCGACATTGATGCTGTCTCCATCTGTCCAGTAGAGTTTCCTATGAAACAAAGGAACCACCATTCAATGCTATACCCTTCCCCACATTGGCTGATTATCTCCTGGTCATGTCCCTGACATTTGCTTTACACTTAACAAGGTTCATCTGAAGAAAATAACACCTTACAGGAAGTTGGGTGGCAGAGAGCAAATCAAACATTCTCTCCTTTCTTCCAAACATTTTGTCAACTGGAGAAAAGGTTTATATTAATGTTTCTCAACTTCAGTCAGCATGTTTCCCAGAATCCTGAGAGTTAAAGTTCACCCATCTTAAAGTTACTGAAGATGAGAAATGCAAAAGAGACAATCAGCCAGCCCAAAAGAGAATAAAAATGGCTTTAGCACCTCTCCACCACTAATCACCACCCAGATCAGCATATATTAACACTAAAGTTAACTCAGACCAACAACCCAGTAAACAATACCCCAATCAAGAAACTGCCAAAGAGCCATCAGTAAACAGCCCAACTTAAGAATCTCTAAGACTTTGATGGGCAGCCTCTTGCCAAATGAAAAAGAGTTTACCTCGCCTAAGAATATGTCATAAACTAGCTGGTACATTCACATTCACACATGCTCAGCCCTTGATAGTTTTTCAGCCGTGAAAACAGCTCTAAAACAGCTTCTTTATACCATTCAAAAACAGCATTTTTAATTCTGAAGGGAGTCAGACTCTTGAATACAATTATTGCTATTCCCATTGGGCTGTGCATGGCCTGAAGATAAAGGAAGAACTTCTAGATGCAACAGAGCTGGTTCGGGCTTGGGCATCAAGTAAATCTGTTTAGGCATGCCTGTTGGATTCATTCAGAAAATCTAAGCAATGACTTCCCAAACCCCAACTTTTGTTTTAAAAAGAAAACAAAAGAACAAACCAGAACAGTCAAGTCATAAGAATCTTTCAAGAAGAGCTTAAAATAGAACACAACAAGCAAAACTTAAGAACTTCAGCAAGTGCCAAAGAAAGATCCCCTCCAGCAAAAATCTGAAGGTTATAGCAAAACACCTAAAGAATGTTATATTATCTTACTCTGGAATGATGGGACCTATGTTATATTATGTTCCTGCAGATCCTAAGGTTACAAAAGGAAATGCATTATAGAAATAAACCGTATTTCTCCTACTTTTTTCTTTTTTAACTTTTCTTTACTTCTAAAAGTGAAAAAAAATATGTTAAGGTAAGAAAATCCAATCACTGTAAAATTCTGAGAAAGAAGCAGGGAAATTGCATAATTGCTATTCCAATTTTTCCATTTAATTCCCTATTCAGATTATATATTCACTGTGGAAATATAGAAAAGGATATGTTATGCCGTGAGGATATGTCTTGAAGAACTTGGGCTCATGAACCCTGCTCCCCCGCTCTGATGAATTTACAACAAGGAAGCAGGAAACTTTTAACATTTCCACATAAACTACCATTAGTTGTAACTGAACTGGAGTGAAATAAACCATGATTAGACTCTAATTCATGGGGCTTGTTTAAATAACATGTAGTTAATATTCAGAAATAATGCTAAAAAGCTCTTAATTTAAAAAGGAAAGTGAAAGTGTTTCAGTCTGTTTCTCAGAAAATCCATCCTACCGTTTAACTTTGTCAGCATTCTTGGTTGACTCAGACTTACCCTTTGAGAGGATGAACCACTAAGCAATGAGGTTTGTCCAGTCCCTGAATCACAGCATTCTTAAAGGAGCCATCTAGCCGGGCAACATTAATCTGTTTCTTGTTGGCATCATAGCTGGTCCAGAAAAGGTTTCTAGAGACCCAATCCACAGCCAAGCCATGAGCATTGGGTAAATCTGCAAAGTAATAGACAATATATTTCTTTAACTGCTGTAAGCTGCCCAAAGTCATATGTTGCTGGCTATATCAATCAAATAAATAAATAAATAGGAATAGACGTGAAACCCAGAAAGATACAAAAAAAGTTAGGATGTGTTGCCAGAGGGGGCCATATTGCCCACTTACTCCCATAATTCAAAGAAGAAAAAAACTGAAAAATGATGGGAGTTTTGGGAGATGTTTCTGTGTTCTTATTTACACAGCCTCAATGAATCCCACAATGATAACTATTGATTGCAAAAGTAGCTAATTCCTGATGCAGGATAATGATAAGAAACTGCAAGGAATATAGGTGTGGCAGACCTGCAGGCTAAGCCAGAGGGTGGGGTGAAATGTGTCATCAGTTTGGAATCTTTGAGCTCCCACAAGAGACCTCAGTCAGCCACTTATGAATTTCCTTTGACCCTTATCTAGAGACAATTTAGCTTTGAGCGTTATTTGACCAGATTCTTGTGTATAGGAAACAATAATAAACTCTTCTGTGCTTTGAATTCAATGAATATTCCTGTGCCTGGCATTAGATTTAATTAAAATAAAATGTAAAAGTTAAATATTCTAATGCCTTTAAAAAAAAAGCTGACATCAATATTCAAATTTAATTTAACAAAAGCCAAGTAAAAAAAGCAGCACAGGTGTTGGGAAGCTTGGGAAGAGAGGATAATATAAGTAATTTGCACCTGCAGAAACAACCGTTTCAACGCCTGTTCCATTGATGAATGCCCGCTTGATGGTTTGTGTGCGGACATCTGACCAGTAGATACGTTGTTCCAGAGCATCATAGTCAACCACAGTCACATTGTCAATGTCAGGCACCGTGAAGGAGTTAATGTAATTGTAATAAGGGTTGTCTATGTCCACACCTCGGATTTCCATCTGGCGTGCATAAAGCAAGAACTTCTTAAATTCTGGAGATGGGGAGAAAAGGCAAGACCATGTGATGGAAACTCAGTATCATCAGGACTCTGCAAGTATAAAGACTTTCCAAAACCTGCAAGATTCTTAAATAGGTTATTCATGAATGGTATAGGTCGGGGATATATAAAAGTTTCCAAAGCTTAGACTAAGGTGAGTTTAGCTTTTTTTCTCAATTGAATTATTTCTAGATATTTAGCAAATTGAACACATAAATCAATAAAAATCTAAGCCTGAAGAGATGGGAAAGTAACCAGTTCTGGGGTTTCAGTTATGCAATTTATCAGAGAAGGGATTACTTTAGTTTAAAACTGCTCCTCCCCTAGCCTCGTAATTTAGATGTTTTGTTGCAGCACATAAATTTTGCTTATGACTAGACATACTATGGAAAGTCAGTCTTTTAGAAACTGATACAAGAGGGTGATGACACAGCTATACACTTAAACGTTCCCGTGCTTTTTACTCTCATTCGCTAAAAGCCTGTGAACCATTCTGAAAGATAGTCTGGGAGGTATCAATAGCTAAAATAAATGGGAAAGAGAGGGACAGGGAGCGATAAAGCACTATTATAATCTCAAATTATCTTTCTTTGCAGGAGGAGCTCCCGATTTATGCTGGATCCCATTCACTCCCTTTACCATAGCAGGTGGCATTGTCCTTATCCAGCTTCATCAGGTGGGGGCAAGCACAGGAGTAAGTGCCATTGTAGTTGATGAGGCAGAGGTGGGAACAGTGGCCTTTTCCTCCATTGGCCTCACAAGGATTGGGAGCTAGAAGAACAAAAAGGTTGTAAGATTACATTCATCACAACTTTGTTCTAAAGAAAGCAGAATGCATAGCTCTGTGTGGGAACTGTCAGGGCATATATACATATGGAATATAGCCCAAGGGAAAAAGCCATTGGATTTCTGGATTGTCCAGAACAATTGTAGGGTTGTACTTTTGCTTTCTCCAGAGCAAGGGTCTCCAAATTTAGCAACTTTAAGACTTATGGACTTCATGGCTGGCTGAGGAATTCTGGGAGTTGAAGTCTACAAGTCTTAAAGTTGCCAAGTTTGGAGTGTCCTTCCCCACAGCCTTAAAAAGTGCAAGTGCCAAGAAAAAAAAATGTACAAGACAGACCAGGGGAAAAGCTTATCCTACAGTCTACGGAGGATTTCCAAATCATCAGAAAGTAGAGTCTCTAAGTGCAAATACTTCATATTGTATAAAAATCTTCATGTGTATGTATCCATTTCATTTTTAATCATAAAACATAGTGAAGCCTTTAATCATCTTCTTTTAACGACCCCATAATCCCTTTCAGGGTAGAGTCTGGGCAACTGAATGGAGCTAGCAGAGTGTTTTAATGGCCAGATGCTCTTCCTGTCGCCAATGAGGAATTTTGTTCCGCAGATAAATTCTCAGTGTGCCCAGAGAGAGAAATATCTGCCTCTACCTAGGATTGAACTCACAGCCTCCTGACTGTGAGACGAAAGCTCCACCTCTAGGCCACTGTACCACTCCATAGCGAAGCCTTAATATACAGATCGCATTACTGCATATTCGTTCCTTGTTGTCTTTTTAAGGTAATTCTGTTATTTTGCCATCAACCTCAGAACATAAGTTGGTAAGTCAGTCCTTGGAGTATGTATGTGTGTATGTATGTCTCTCTCTATCCATGCCAGTTATAATAGCATCACAGTTGGAATAATTTTTATCCCTTCCAATTTAGGTCAGTTAGCTAACAGGAATTTCCAGGATTTTAAGTGACCCGGATTAAGTGCACAAAACATGTGACATATGCATCTTACCACCATATAAGGAGATCATTATCTAGTATGCCATACTTGAATGAGAATGGCCTCTGCAATTCATCAGAGAAGGAATTATTTTAGTTTAAAATCACTCCTCCCGCACCTCATAATTTAGATGTTCTTGCAGCACACAATCTTGCTTATGACTAAACATACTATGGAAAGTCAGTCTTTTAGAAACTGATACAAGCAGGTAAAGACATGGGTATAGACAGTGGTTTCTGAAAAATAAGCTCTACGTGGCAATGAGTCCAAGACAGTACTGTCGCTTAGCACTATAATTAAATCCAGAATCTGTCCCTTTATTAGGAAACTGGGGAATAAAAGGAGAATATGGTTCAGTCTCTGCTTCTATGATCAAATAATTAATTCACTTGTAATTGCTTCTCTCATCTTGCTGAAAGATACAATACCCAAAACTGGCAAATAGATGCCTGGGGGAGACCATACTCATTTTGCAGAGCACGTGCTTTGCCTATGGAGAGTCTCTTGTGAAATTCCTAAAATCTCCCAGTGACTGTGGAGATTCTCAATCATCCAGGTTGTCCCACAGGTACTTTAAAAAAAAAAAAGACAACTGGACTTTCTTGATGTTGTTCATCTTCTTTGAAAACGTTTTGCTTCTCATCCAAGAAGTTTCTGGTTGAGAAGCAAAATGTTTTCAAAGGAAAAAAAAGAAAGAAGGAAAATCCAGATGCCTTTTGGAGACAGCACCTTTGGGACTATTGTCACCAAGAAAAGAAAGGAATGGCATCAATTAAAGGGGGGGAAACCACTCTTAGATATAGTCAGTCTAGTTTTACCCAACTAGCCGCATCATTTACACATCAGTGGAGGTTATTGTTTCTTCCTGTGTCCATTAGATGCAAAGCCTCCGGAGACTTAGGTAGCTTGAATACAGCAGTAGGTAGCTGTGGCAATTGTGACAAACTTTTGGTGCCCATGTTGACTTCACAGACTGAAACCTGGTATCATTCACCCACTGCCCCTTTTCCCTCATCATGGCTCACCTACAGGCTGGCGAGAGGGGTGATAGACCTGCAAATCAAAGGGCTGTGTGTTGGTCCGCTGCACGACCGTGACGTTGTGGCCTGTCCACTTGTTAGCCTTGGCCAAGGTATTTGTCCGCCAGTCAGTCCAGTACACCTCGCCACCGTACAAGGTGACGGCAAAGGGATGTGACAGATACTCGTGTCCTCGCAGCACCTCAATGTGGCCTGTGCCATCATAGAGGGCAGAATAGATCGCATCTGACCTGGGGAAGAAGATGACAAATCAACATGAACATTCGCAGAAGCAGGGAAAAGGAGAGGTGAGAAGCAAGAGACGCGAGTTCAAAAGTTACATGTGAGTACGAGTAGAACTGGGACCACAAGATCTTTTTTTTTAATTTTCTTTGTTCAGATGTGTAATTTGTGTTTGACAAACAAAATAAATAAATAACGGGAGATATGACTAAGCAAAGAAGCTGCAAGTAAGACATGAGAAACAAAGAAAGACAAAGGAGAGAGGAAGCAAGATACTTAGGAATGGAAAAATACAATGTGATCAAAGGCTTTTCTTTTCAGAAAGCAATCTGGCATGAAATGCATCACTCTAGGAAAGTAAGCCAAAATACCTATTTTATGTTGCCCTGGAGTCTATTAAAGGCATGCCAAGTTTGTTATAAAACATAGTGATTTGTTTATTAGTCTCTAATCTACAGCAAAAAATGCATTTAATATTCTAGCCAAATAATGTCTTACTTACTAAGGTGTTATTACATTATTATAGTAACTATAGTAATTATGCATATAGTTACTATGAGAGACAGAAAAGAGGAAGTTACTGTGTTCTTACAGTCTTCTTAGGATAAAAGACTCAATGGGATATTGCAGCAAAATAGGAGACTCTCTTCTATTTCTCCTCAATTAAATAATAGGTCAGCTCTGCAACTGAGGTAGAATTACTCCCAACAGACAGAGAACCTTTTTAGCAGAGCAGGGAAAAAAATACTTTCAGTTTTTCAATGTTTTGGGGGGATGGGTGGTGGTGGAAACATATATTGGACAAAGATAACAATTTCTGATTGTAGCTATGGTTGTCTATATTACGCTGGCATTGTTACATTCAACATGTAATCTTTTCATGAAGTAAAATTATCTCTGAGGCTAATACAAGAAGAAAGGAAGAAGTAAGAGCAAGAGCAGCAAGATTTTGAAATGCCAGTAATCAGTGGAAATAAAAATACCAAACCTAGATTCTTATAAAGGGAAAGATGTAGACATTTTAAGAGGATCTGGATTGGCTTCATAATAAAAATCTCTCCCTCTCCCCAACACCCCCACCCCCAAGAAATGACTACCCTGATAATTTCTACCCTGAATCTCAACCCCTGAATATTTGGTTCCTGGCTGCTCCGCACCTGGCATCAATCCACAGTATACGCTTTTCCAGGTAGTCCACTGTGAGTCCATTTGGCCAGCCACCTGAGCCTGTTTCCTTGTGAATGACACGTCGGCCTTGGCCGCTCATGGAAGCTGCCTCAATGCGAGGCAGGCTGGCATCCCAGTCTGTCCAGAAGAGAATCCTGGGTTGGGGGGAAAAGTGGGCACATACAGAGTCAAAAAAAAAGATGCCTCTTCAACCACAGGAACATAGTTTAAATAGTCTCTATAACACTGCAATATTCACTGTAGATCATTTACTCTTTGAGACACTAAAAAGTGATTTGATATCAATCCTCTCTGCAACACTGCATTCTTATGTGAATGTAGGCAAATCCAATATGACTATGCTTTTAAGAGCAATGCTTCATTTTTACAGAGTTCAAAAAGCCTGTATACACAGTGCTAAATGGCACGATTTCCTTCATTATTTTTTTTTAGAGTGATGTGAAAATATTCCAGTGCTCTTCAGTATTCTGCTTATGATCAATGCCATCTACCTCTTACAAAAGGGCTAGGGAGGAATAAAGAGTATCCCTCTACACCGGTAATATTTTTAGGAAAACTGGAATTTCTATCAAGATTTCACCGCAGAGACATTCTAATTTCATTTCTGCAGTTGAGGAATGTGAAGACATGCACTTTAAAAGGAGCCCGAACACCTATTTGCTGTTAAAATTGTACAAGATACTACACAAATAATAAATACCAGGACATTTTTCTGGTAACAAGTAGAAGCTTGCTTATAAAGAAAAAACCAACCATTCTTGATGCTGAATTCCATGCCTAGCATTCTATGGTTTTGCCCTATTTGGGTCAAATACCAGAATAAGCCCCCTCCTAAGGATCTGGTGAACATTTGGTTTACTGCCTGCCTCCCATGCAAACATTAAATGCAGGTTGAAGTTTGCTAATGGATTAAAAGATTAACCTATTTTGCCAAAATCCACATGGACAAGTTATAGTGGTACCCAACTTTCTACCGTGTTTTTAGATCAGTTCCTGCCCATAGATTTCTCCATCCCCTATGTTCAGAGTCATACCCGCATCGTGGATCTAAGGCGATGGCACGAGGGTGCTCGATATCCCCAGCCAGTAACGTGCTCCTCATTGTTCCGTCTAGCTTAGCCACCTCAATTTGGTCCAGGTTGCTCTCCACCCAATAGATGTTGCCAGCAATCCAGTCCACAGCAAGTCCTTCAGGAGTAGCGAGCCCATATTGTATCACCACCTCAAAGCTGGTTAGGGCTGTAAAAAAGATAATTGGAATAGAAGCCATCAGTAATTGTTCGTATTATCCAGACAAACTTCACTTCATGTGGAAGGCATTTTTAAAAAATTCTTTTCTGTGCTCTAACTTCCCAAGATCTTCTCTCTCAACCTCCAAGTTCTGTAATAACATTTCAAGAAATGTATCTTAATGGATAATACCAAATGTCATTGAGAGGCCCAGTAGAACCACTGGAAGCACTGTCATGTGTTTAATTCATGGCCTACTACATTATCAAGCTATTCAGCCTGAACATGTCCAGAATCCACATATCTAAATAATCAATTTGATTCCAGAAAGTCTGAAAGAGAGTTGCTACTATTCTTTATTGGATCTTAGATAAGACAGTCTAAAAAATGGGTAATAATTATCTAAGACAGTATTCCTCACCTTGAGTGCACTCTATTTAAAGGGACTTCCATACCCCAATTTCTCACCTGTGACTACATGGGCTAAGGAATTCTTAGCATTCAGGACCTCAGATCTGAATGATACTCAAGTTGGGGAAAGATGATCTGGGATTCAGTGCTTTCTTCAAGATGTATTTTATAATACACTAGCAATGGAGAGATTATAGTCACCTTAGAGGTTAGTAAATTTATTGTGACACGTAAGTACAATCCATTCTGAGAAAGAAACCATGCTTTTGCTAAATTGCTGGAGTTATTAAAGCAGAATACATGTAGCTGAATTCACTCCGAAGAGCCTCCAGGAGAATTAGCTCAGTCATTTTCAGCATGTTTCCTTTTTTCATTGGGTAAAATAGGAATTCTTCCAAGATATCTGGTATCTTTTATTTAGATATAGGCTATAGTTACATACTACACCTCATTTAATTTTGGCTACACTAACAGTTAAGAATTTAAACTAAAAATGTACGGAAATCAAGCGCCCTCTTGCAAATTTGTCCTGATCCCAATATGGTAAAATCTCATTTCTGGCCTCATTTATAACTTTAATCTCTGGACAAGTCAAAGGATTCCTAATTTTAGGTTTTAAAATAAAGATATCTAGAAAACTAATTTCAATTTTAAATGGCTTTATTGAGAACAAAGTTTTGTTTTTTTGCAAGAAACAATCAAACTCCAAGTGATTTCAATTCTAATGAACTGTCTTCTTATGAAACTCCGTAGGGAGAAGGGGCAGAAAATCCTTTAGTTGGGACATACTAGAGGCCATCCTGGCATTCTGCAATTCCTTGATCACCCAGTGCCCCATCACCAGCTCTGTTGAGGCATTAATCAGGTTAGGCCCTGTTCTTTGCTGAAACAGTTGCTAGGCTGTAATTACCATTTAGGGAAGCTCTGGGAATGCTAATTAACTCTAACATAATGTCAACATTTAAAAGAAAGAAGGTATCATTTAACAGGGATTGAACACTGCTATTTCTGATGGTAGAAATGCAGAAAGGGAAGGACAGACTGGTTTATTTTGAAGGTATCTCAAGCCCTTTTCACATTTCAGCTTTTCCTGAAGGACTTATAGACTGATTTACAGGTAATCCTCAGTTAATAGTTATTGGGACTGAGAACTCCATTGTTAAGTGCCGTGGACATGAAGCTTGACATCATGTGACTATAACCATTTATGACAGTAATGCCTCCAGCGGCTGTTAAGTGTGATTTCATGTGATTACTATCTGTGGCCTCCTGTTGGCTTCCTCATTGCTTCTGCTTCTTGGAAACTGGCAGTGAAGGTCACAAATCACAATGGTGGGACTGTAGCGCACTGCAACTATTATAATTGTGAGTCAGCTGCTGAATGCTTGAATTATGATCAATGTGACTGCTGTGACAGCCACAACTTCATGGGCCAGCCAAGTCTCCTTGTTCAGCGCCTTCGTAATTTCAAATGGTTGCTGAATGAATGGTCATTAACCAAAGATTACCTCTTCTTAAAAGACAGTTACTCAGAAAAGGAGAGAATGATTTCATTGATGTTTTCAAAACACAAAAACATCTTCATTAAAATACGTGATCCAGATTCCCACTTACGAACTATTTGGGGTTCACAATAAAGGGTCAGTGTAATGGATAGTTCAGCACTGCACAAATTATGACAAAGGTAGTGATGGACAGAGTTACTAGCACCTCCACATTTTTCTGTCAGTGGAAGGAAATGCATCCTAGGGAATTTGACAAAGTGCTTATTATAACACTTTGAGACTGTTGGTTAAACAAGGTTTTGCAGTGGTGATTACAATAATTACTTCAAAGGATTTTAAAGATAACATTTGTAAGATCCTTCCTTCCCAAGAATCCTAGTGAAGAGGATCCTGTAGCTGCCATATGGTTAGCCACACGCATCTGCTTCATTTGAGGGCAACATCTCATGGATTGAAACTGAAGGCCTGCTGTGCTTTGAGTTAACTGGCTTTCAATTACTACACACAGATTAGAAATGCTAATCTAATCACCCCCAGGAGCATTTGTTCTTCATCACTGGGGCTCAGTCTGCTAGCTATCTATTTATTTACTCTTCTAGAGCCAGCAAAGAGCTTATTATAATGCAAGAAGCTGGCAATTGTTTAATAATGTGACCGTTTGGGATTTGATTTCCAATACCTCAGCTTACTTAATGGATGGCTAGCTCTCAGTGGAAGCACCCTGACCACAAATGTAGCAAAGGTCAAGCCTCTTCCCCAGAACTACGTTGAAATTTTTTTTTTATCTTGCTTAAGCAGGAGCTATATATGCACAATTGGGCATCTCCTACATCAGTCAAAACAAATTTCCATCCCTCATTTCCAAGCAAAGTACAGTCGCAAAGCAAAGTTTCATTTCCCTTTATCTAAATTTAGTGAAGCAATGAGCCCTAGACTTTATGTTAATAAGTTTTTGTTCCTCCTCGTTTTCCCAATCCATGACTGCTATGCAAAGTACGCAGTGACTCCACCCTTATGTTACTCACATTACTGTCCTGAATTGATCTCAACTTTTAAAAAGAAACAGGAACATGGATTTCAAAATCCAAAATAAAATGCTGAACACACCTGTGCCAAATGGTAAATAAACCACAAAATAAAACCAAGGAGGCAAACTATCAGAAGTACAGATATGATTAGAAAGATATTAAAAATGATTAGAAAAAGATATATAATTGAATTTAGACAGGTATGAGATAATTAAAAACAAAGTTGAGAAAACTAAGGGAGGAGAAAAATTATGGTGAAAATGTCAAAATAGTAATAAGATATGGAATAGAACACAAAGACGAATATGAAATTGAGTTTGTGTCTGTATGGTGAAGTGATAACCTGGGATCATGCTATTCTCAAAAAAAGATGCTTATTTGTATTATGTTTCATGAAAGCCCAAATAAAATTTATATAGATAGATAGATAGATAGATAGATAGATAGATAGATAGATAGATAGATAGATAGATATAGATATAGATATAGATATAGATATAGATATAGATATAGATATAGATATAGATATAGATATATAGATATATGGTATTCAGCTTTGTTCAGGTATTTTCCCACGTCATTGTAGTTGTGCTTTTAAAGTTGTAGCTAACATATAAGTACCCGCGAAAACTTAAGAATATATGACTTATGACCTGTCCTTCTTTGCATTCCTCCTCATAACCATGAGAAAATATAAGTGCTTTTAGTTCAACAAATACCATTACAATATTTGACTTACAGCCACAATTGAGCCCAAAATGTATGTTGCTAAGACAGTTGCTAACTGAATTTTGCCCCATTTTACAAGCTTTCTTGCTACAGTTGTTAAGTGAATCACTGTAGTTGTTAAGCTACTAACATGGTTGTTAAGTGAATCTAGCTTCCCCATTGACTTTGCTCGTCAAAAGGTTGCAAAAGGTTGATTACATGACATTGCAACCATCACACATAAACCAGTAGCCAAGCATCTGAATCTTGATCAGGTAACCCTGGGATGCTGCATCGGTGGCCTGCACCACGGCAGGGGGAGGCCTGTTTTTCACCCTCCCCCAGGCTCCCGAGGCTTTTCTCGATCCTCCAGGAGGGCGAAAACTGCCTCCCCAGACTCTGGAGACTTTCTGGAGGCCAGAAACAGGGCCTGTTTTCGGCCTTCCAGAGCTTCCGGAAGGCCCATTTTTGGCCCTCCTGGAGCCTCCACGCAGGCCCTGTACTTACCTAGGATCCAAAACGGGCCGTGTGAGGACTCCTGGAAGGGGTGAGGTGGGGTGGGCAGGGCTAGCCAGGGGTGGGATTTTCCAGTTCGCCAAACCGGCCATAAAATTAGCTACCGGTATCAGCCCACCCCTGGATTTATCCTATGTATCTTAAGGGGTGAAAACACTCAATGGTTTGCGGACTAGACTAAGGCACTCATTGAGCAAAGGAGTAAGTTCTGGCTTGTCTGAACTATGATGGAAGGATTGATATTGCTCAGTTTTTGCTCTTTCGCTGATCAACAGAGAGATGAGACAGTTATTCCTTCTCTCCCTCAGCTCTATGAGTCACGTTAAGAGACAGGGCCCCATTCTCCAGAACTGACAGTTCAGGTGAGGTGAGATGTGCCCACTTTCCACCAACAAACTGTACAGATGCTCAAAGGAGGGAACACCTCCTACAAGACTGTCACTTTATCTCAGCTTTCCTGCTAAGAAAGATGCTGTCTCCTTAACACAGGGAAAATACTTTTTGATTGCTATGTACATTTTCTCTCCAAAAGCATTTTTAAAAAAGACATGTGATTATCTACACAAACGTACACATGAATTACGTAGCCCAATCTAGAACTGAAAATTTGTCAATAACAAAAGGTTTAAGCAGCCTCTGTTGTTGCTTTGGTCAAAATTGCCCCTTCATCAAGCTTCTTTTCTTTAAATAATAATAATAAATGTAAAAAATTTAAAAAATAATGCCAAAGCTTTATTTCCATTTGCAATGAAAATAAAAATAAAGAGACCCTTAATTAAAATAATCAACTGCAAAGAACTTCACCAACAAAGAAGTAATTCATCAGCTGTGCTAGACAGGAAGCAAATAAAGCTTTTAAAAGCACAGTAGCTCTAAAAAGCTTCAGTAATGTTTAACCAATTCCAATGGCCCATATGTATGTATGTATGTATGTACACCCACACACACACACCCACACACACACACACCCTCCAATCACTTTTAAAGGTTTGAACAGCTTTGAAAACTCTTTAATAAACATTGTACAACAACTACAACACTGATAACAGCAGAACAAACTTAAGCACAATTCATTTCTTTATTGTGGCTCCCTCTGTGAATAAAAGATTGAGAAGGAAGCCAACTGTCCTGGTAAGAATGGACTGTGAGCACATCATATTTTAAAAGTATAAACTTTCTGGGGGGGAAATATTTTGGGGAAAAAAGCACCATTCTACAGCAGCCACATCTGTGTATAGGTGCATCCATATCAGAGGTGGGTATTCAGCAGGTTCTGACCAGTTCTGGAGAACCGGTAGCGGAAATTTTGAGTAGTTCAGAGAACCAGCAAATCCCGCCTCTGACTGGAGATTTTACAGTATCCTTCCCCTGCAACGCCCACCAAGCCACATCTACAGAACCGGTAGTAAAAAAATTTGAATCCCACCACGGATGCATATGTGCCCTTGAGTCAGTCTTTGATAACTCTGGTGACCGCCTGGAAAATTTTCTTGATAATATTTTTGAAAATGGTCTGCCATTGTCCTTTCCCTAGGGCTCAGAGAGAGTGACTGGCCCGAAGCCACTCTGTACTCACCTCCGTTTTCATGCAATTTTCCCCGGTATATCTTGTCTTCTACCACATCAGTCCAATAGAGGGAGCTCTGATTCAGATGAAAGTCCAAGGCAATGGTGTTTCTCAAGCCAGGCACTAAGACGCTGTAATCTCCCTTGTGTAAGTCAATACGCCGGATCTCATGGCGATTGGAGAAGATGATGAAAGGCTTAAACGGGTCTAAAAATGGAGAGAGGAATGTTGATTGCTGCTGCTATTATATTTTTCCTGATCTTCAAACCCAGGAGCATCTCTCTTGAGAGGGCTCCCGCAGCAAACACTTTCATTTGAAGGAAGATTTGGAACGAATTACCTTTCTGACGTCTGAGTTTTAAAATCATTTTTGCCTTTTCAATTCTATTCATCTCTGTTCTGCCAAGACAGTCAGGGCTGGGATTTTAATGAACATAACCACTGCCATAAATCGTTATAAATTATTAATAATAATCTCCGAAATATGGACAAGGGCTCCTTATCCCAGTACTTATTCATGTCACAAGGTAATCTGTGGACGATGATTCCCACAGGCAAAGGTCCAAAGCTCTAGCATGAGCCTCCCCTTCTTCATGTAAGAGGGAATGAATGCTATGCTGCAACTGAACAACATTGCATCTTTTTAAAATTCTCCCTCTTCCAGCCTTCCCTGGAGCCCTGCGAACAGAACTGTCTTTCTTTTGCCTGCCAGCGGCAACATGGCAGAATGAGGCACATCCCTAAAGGACAGGAACACTGCTGTGTTTCTTGACTGCCGGAAAACACCAAGCTGGATTTCCCCTCCCTTCCTGCTAACTTTTGGTCTCTTTCCCATTCAGTTTCCCGCTTTTGGTCTCTTTCCCATTCAGTTTTCCAAAAAGGCAAGAACCTTAGACTGACGTACGACTCTTCTCACATACAAAACAGATTATTCAAGGGACCTAGTCCACACTCCATCCGTCATTACGATTTTGGCCTTGCTATTTTTCCAGAGGGATGGAATAGGGAGGAGAGGTATCTGTGGATTGGGTATCCTGCAGAAAAAGCCCCAGTGAGCTCCATGTAGTCCCCTGCCCTTTTCTTCTAAAGATGTCCTCTTCTAAAGCTTTTCTTCATAGCATACTTTTTACCATTTGAGCCAAATTCTGGATGCAGTCCAGCACTCAGGTTTTGGATCAGTTCTTCATTAAAGTGAATCTTCTCAGTTCATCCTATTATTCCCCATAAGGGGCTCATATAGGAGACACATTATATTCTTGTGAAAGCATCTCTGGCCTACAGTTTCACAAGCAATTCATTTTAAACCGACAAGAATAGTAGAAGAATCACAGTGAATCCACCCCACATGCCCCCAAGAATCAACCCCTCAACCTATTATGAGAAGTGACGTCTTCGAGAACAAAGCCAAGACTCCTTGTAACACCTGTTTAGACCCTCTACATAAATCTGTAGGGAAGAGTGTCAAGAGGAATTTTTTTTCTGATGACCAAAGCCAGATGTTTAGCGATTATTGTCCAGAAGGGGAATATTTTGATGAAGAGAAACAAAGGACGTATCTCTTCCTCAACTCTGAAAAGAGCTGTGCATCCAAACTGACTGAAGTACTGGCCAGAATACTCTTTAAAGCAATCTTCCTCCAGATGAAGGGATGATTTTACATATTATAAAGTAACGGTTGTGGGTGAATGTTCTTTTAAAAACATATTTCTAAAAAGATCAAGTATGATTCTGATGAACAGATATTTAAAAGCATGTGCTTACACAAATACAAGCCAAGATGGTTTTATTTCTAAGATGCTAAAAGCACGCTTGTCATTTTATGGGTGAAGTGTTATCCCATTTAATTTATATTTGCTAACTTAATACACTGTGCAGGCCCACTTCTTCACAGATTTTGAAAACCTGATCTCCACTACCCCTGCCTTTCAATGAGTCCAATACATCGCTCTGAAGCAGACAAAACTCACTGAGGACTTACCCAAACTGCGGCAGCTCTCACCATCGGACTCCAGCATCCATCCTTCATAGCAAGAGCACTTCACGTTGTACTTGAACTGCTCACACTTTTGACTACACTTGAGGCGCTTGGCACAGTAGCTCTGGATCTGGCAGGTCTTGTTATCGGCACCAAGCTCCATTCCTAGGGGGCACGAGCAGGCAATGCCCTCACCTGGTGCTACTGTACAGTTGTGGCTGCAGCCCCCGTTGCTCAGAGAGCAAAGATCTGGATGACATCAGAAAGAGCACAGAAAACGATGGGGAGAAATTCAAGCTACTGGCTCAAATTGTCCACAAACAATTGCTGAATACCATTTCCCAGCGAAAACAAGCTCCCTACCACTTCACAACCACAATGAACCTTTGGGTCCAATTTCTCAGTCCTCCAATGAATTAACTGATGTCTCTTGCATTCCATGTACAAAAGCAAGTCCCTCGAAATTTACTACCATGAGGATGGAATAAGCATCTTCCACTGCACATTTATTTGTAAGTAAGAGTTTAAATAATAATCCCTCGTCCAAAAATTGTTTCCTACTACTCATTCCACAGCATCAATGGCCTCATTTTGACTAATGAGAGCAACGGTCTTGAACTTTCTAACTCATTAAACTGTGTAATATCCAAACAATTCACTCACTGTTTACTAGCAAGATTTATAGGCCTCCATATTAGCTTTAACTATGATGTTTGCCTTGTTTCTTCAAACGGATTAAAACAGTATCTATTCATGCTCATACATTAGGCATAAACAAGCAAACAAGGCCTATCCAATATTTACATCTCCTGCAATATATTTTTGTGGCTATCACTTTTCACAAGAGATGAACAAGATGTCCTTAACTTAGGAAAAAATGGAGGTTAACTCCTCAGCAGTCTTTAAAATATGCAGTGGCCTAGAGCTATATTCACCAGGGATTCTGGGAGCTATTCTCCAAAGTTCCTGAGAAGACAGTAAGTTGGAAAAGATCATTTAGAGAAAGGACAACATTGACATAAGACCGAATAATTTGTTCCTTGTTCCTGACACTCACCACACAGTTGCCCTTCATCAGACCCATCCCCGCAGTCATCATTTCCATCACACAGTTTCTCAGGAGGGAGGCAGATAGATGTTGTATTGGCACATGTGTGGGAGGGTGGCTTGCACACCAAAGACTCACAATTCTCTTCATCAGAATTGTCCTCACAATCATTGTCTCCATCGCATACCCAAGCTTTGCTGATACACCGTGCTGGAAAGGAATGGAGACAAAATGAAGAGCACTTAATCTTTTTAACATATACATGATATTATATAATTTTTAAAATTCCTTAAGAAACACAAATGAGAAAGGTGGAAAAAGAAAATCTAGAATTTCCTCTAAATGTATACTGGGGAGGCAGTGTCTTGTTCTCTTTTTGAGGACTGATTCCCACACCCTTTTTTTAACCATATATTCCCCAATTGGGCTCCTTTAACTCACAAAGCAGTAATCAGGAAATCAGAGAAGAAAAAGAGTATAAAACAAAAATAAAATCTCTGGAGTAGGTCCAGCTGTAATCTTCACAATTTCTCGAACAGCAACGTATTGTTTTCTTACATCCCACTCTCCTCTGCTTCCAAGAAGAACAAGCACGCTGAAAAAGCTCTCAGAACTACAGAATTCTGTTTCTCTGGGTTAGTAAAAGATTCTAAGGGCCAAAGAATAAACAAGGTCATATACACCAGCTGTTGTTTGACCTGTATTGCGTAATACAAAGAAGTCAACTGGTGTGTGGCTTTTGTTTGTCAAGTGACCTATGTGATGTGCATGTTTTGGTATGCACACAACTACTCTTGTTCAGGGACAGTATTGCAGCAATTATGATAATACAAAATAATATAAACTTTGAAGAGAATGAGAAGTACATAATTCATGTTAGATTTTTTTATTTAAAAATGAGAAATGTGGAGCTTCTTGTTGAGTTATTATTTAGACTTATGCATACTTACTTCTTTAACAAAACTGGGGACAGAGGAAAAATATCTTGAGTGTAGGCAAATACTTCTTTTCCAATAAAGGAGAATATTTGTAGGGTTGAAATGTGATGTCTTTGGTGTTCTCTGAGCTTGGTTGTTTTCTTGCAGACTAGGCAACATTGTCAGTGCTAGCAAGAAAACAACCAAGCTAAGAGAGCTCCAAAGGCCCCTCAGATATTTCTTTTATTTAGATCTTCTTCGTTCACAATTAGGACAATGAGACCTTGCAAATCACAGTGAACCACACACAGCTTGGGCCAAGCTTCAGTAATTACATTTTTATCTCAACTTTTTTTTTTTAAATAAACAGTTGCTGCCATAATAAACATGTGTGAGCAAAAATGGCTGAAGGGTAATTATACTGGGTAATGTGGAACTTCATCACAGTCCAGCACCCAGAAGATGGAATCTGTGACATTCTGTTGATTCCCATGTGATATCTCTTTTAATTAAAGATTATCCAAATCTGTAAGATTACACAAAATCTGCCACAATTTTAGAAGCCAATGCCAAAAAACTTGCTATATCGCTATTCTCATGTGATATCTCTTTTAATTTAGGTTTATTAATGCTCATACCAGCACAACAAAGGTCCATTGTCTGAAAAGGCTGCTATTCATTACATCACACTTATTTTTAATAAGTTCTGAACACCACTGAGTTTTTACATTAAAGCGGGCTAGATGTGCGCAATAATCTAACTGCATCTTTCATCCCTATAATGCAATGCAATTTACCAGAATCCTTGCAGCCAAACTTCACATTTGGATCACAGACATGAGTGACACCCTCACAGTTCTTCTCATCACTAGAGTCCATGCAGTCAGTGTCGCCATCGCAGTGCCAGCGCATGGGAATGCAGAGGGCATCCAGTCGGCATTGGAACTCATCTGTATGGCAGCCTCCAGGCGGGCGGGTAGCTGCAGGAGGAAGAAAGGAGATAGCATGTTAAATTGGGGCAGTACTGATGACTAGAGCTGGACACTATCAAAGCACTGCTAAAAGGAAAAAAACCTTGCATGGCATATCAGGGTAGAGATGCTCTATCAAATGGACATGGTTTTCAGACATGCCATATTAATTTTCACCACTTTTTGTACCCATGTAGGAAGCCACACATTAGATTAGGTTTGTATGTGATCTGAAGGTACACATCATTAGCACCTTTATTCTTTAGCATGATCAGATTACCGCCTGATTGCAGTGGAATTAACTAGTGCCTCCTTTTCCCCATAGGAAAGATGAATCTATTAGAACACTCTGTCCCAGACGCTAAATGGATCTTTTGGTTTCCAGAGGGCACATGGGAGATTAATCCAGAAATGCCACAACAATTCCAGACCAACATCCATAACCAGGGGAAAAGAAAGCATTTCCTGGTACATAAGTGGGTTTATGAGGCCTAGTGCTGCAAATTTTTCAACAATATCTTGCATTTTGTACCAATGAAAAATAATTCAAACTTCACATATCATCTTCTTTGAATGACCCCATAATCCCTTGTGGGGTGGGGTCCGGGCAACTGAATGGAGCTGAGTGTTTACTGGCTGGGTGCCCTTCCTGTCACCAATGCGGAGTTTTGTTCAGCAGATATATTCTCATGGAGCCCAGAGAGAGAAATATTTGCTACTACCTAGGATCAAACTCACAGCCTCCTGATTGCAAGGCGAGAGCTTCACCTCCAGGCCACCGCACCAGTCAATTCAAACCTCACATATGCTATGGGTAAAATATTTTCAGATACATATTTCTACAGATCTGTACATCTTCTATGGAAAAGCCACAAATGACCCTGAAGTCATTTTTGTTCACTGAACGCTACTGTAAGAACAACCCTACTTTTTAACTTTCACCTTACTACTATACATTTTAAAATACAGACCACAAAACCCACCAATAATGTATTCAAAATGAAAAAAAGAGGATAAATCTTAAAATGGGACAATAGACAGAAAGCTTTAATGGAGCAGAGTGTTATCTGCTCCGTGTAGCATTTTTTTCAGGGCAGATGTTAGAGGTTGCTGGTGCCATGTAGAAGCCATTCCAAACGTGCATTATTCTCACCCAGATTGGTGCAGTTGGCATGAGTCTCATCACTGTAGTCCCCGCAGTCATTGTCCCCATCGCAGGTCCAATGGACAGGAATGCAGCGCCCGCTGTTGCATTTGAACTGGTTGCTGGAGCAAGAATGGCTGCAGCCAGCTTCATCACTGTTGTCCCCACAGTCGTTGTCTGGAAACAAGAAATGGGGGAGAAGGGCAGTCTATAGGGTTCTAGGGAGCAAACACAACCCTTCCATGCATTCCCCCACCCCATTCCTCTTCTGAGCTAGATGCAGACTTCCTTTAGCTGATAGGCTGCTAGAAAGTCGAGAAGGCAGCAATGCATCCACTGTCTTGGGTTACCCACTTCCCCAAAGCCTGCATAAATGGTACCTTTCTACCCCATGCATATTGTAGCCAAACATGCTTATGTGCTTATGCATTGCCCCAAGAGCTTTTACCACTAAAGAAGCCACTAAACAATAATAACAGCAACAAGAATAGCAACAAAATTTATAAAGAAAACACAGAAACTGCATAGATCATCACATGCACCATGGGGGAAGGAGAGTGGGTGAAGTGAAAGGAATCTATCACATTATTGGATTCCGGGATCAATTCAATGTGTGTATTTCTTGAAATTCAAAACAATGCCCATCCGTACATAGGCATCTCTGCACATGTGCACTATCCTGGATCTGGGAAGTTCTTGTTTCTTTGAAATGTCTGTTTCTGAGTAAGAACAGACACTGATAGAGAAAATAATTTATAGATTATTTATTTAGCAGTTAGCAATTTATGGATAAGTGTGCTGATGAATCAAGTTATTACTATTTATCTTTGCATTGTTGGGTTTTATTTTGCCTTTAGCAAAACTAGTGAACAAGACTGCTCCTGCTACTAAAATTTTCCTTGGTTTTGGCAACTTGCATTGCTCTTGAGCTTATTGGACCTTTTCCAAACAGAGAGATTCAAAAGAAGCATTCTTTTTAACTCAATTAGCTTTATCGGCACATCTAATCTGATGCACTGTTGTTTCAAATGCTATGGAAGCCATGAAATAGAAATAGCACTTAGACTTATATATCGCTTTATAGTACCTTACAGCCCTCTCTAAGTGGTTTACAAAGTCAGTATATTGCCCCCAACAATCTGTGTGCTCATTTTACCAATCTTGGAAGGATGGAAAGTTGAGTCAACCTTGAGCTGGTCAAGATCGAACTCCTAGCAGTGGGCAGAGTTAGCCTGCAGTACTGCATTCTAACCACTGCACCTTGCAACAGCTCCTTCTAAGGCAGGGGTGGGCAACTATGGCCCTTTTATGAATTATGGACTTCAACTCCCAGAATTCCTGAGCAAGCCATGCTAGTTCAGGAATTTTGGGAGTTGAAGTCCACAAGTCATAAAGGGGCCATAGTTGCCCACCTCTGTTCTAAGGCAAGGGTCTTCAAGCTTGGCAAGTTTAAGACTTGTGGACTTCAACTCCCAGAATTCCTGAGCTAACATGACTAGAGGAGGAATTCTGGGAATTGAACTCCACAAGTCTTAAAGCTGTCAAGTTTGAAGACCCCTGTTCTATGCAAAGATATTTCAAACCACACCTCCTCCAAATCGTAAGAGTCTATTTTCTTAACCTTCCCACAACTTGTTCTAGGAGGTTCTGGATGCTGTCTATAGGCATCCTTGCTGAGAAGCAAGGGACTGGTATATGTTTGAACACATATACATATGGCATATGTTTCTGGCTCAGGAGTTCCTTTTAAGTTAGAAACCCTTTGGACCTTAAGGCAAAAAGCAGCAACATTGTCTGGCGGCCTTCAAACTATGGGAAATGTGGGACAATGAACACCTATGGGACAAGCAAGCTCCAGAATGGTCTTCCTGCCCATCTAATGAGATTTATCGGTACTCAAAGCCTCCTCCAAACAAAGACAGGAAGTACTAAGTCTTTGCAGGGACTGAAACTGCACAAGTGACCGCTTTTTGTGGGGGAATCAAGGAGTACAGGAGGGGTGAGGTGCATGTTGATCTATGCACTAACCGTTGCCTTTTGGACAATTCTTTTCGTCAGAGCCATCCCCACAATCCTTTTCTGAAACACAGAAACCAACCAGAAAAGACAGGAGAGTGGGCATGGTGAACACATGTGAACCCACCCTATCAACACACACAAACAAAAAGACAACAGGAAACTAGAAATTAAATATGAAATGGGAGACAAATTGGCATCCAAAGAATAGAACATGCAGAGGGGAAAGGAGGAAGGGCATCAAGAGAGTAACGTCAAACACAGAAGGGGAATGAGACAGAATCCATGTCACTTTTTTAACTCTCAACAGGAGAAAAGAGATCAGGAGGGCAACCCACCTTACTCTCCTGAGGGATACTCTAAATTCTTTAATTTTCATCCTCTACTTCAAAATCAGAATTGAAAGTTGACAACATTAAGCCATGTAAATGTGCTCAGGTCTGATTTGTGCAAAGTGAAGTGGCTCATACAAACCAGGAAGTTTAAAATAAGTTCTTAATCAAGTCAGATTCGTGACTCACATTTCATCAAAATCATAGCTGGTTACTAATGTACAATCTCAGCCTCCATAGAAGGCAAACAAGCATCAATCTTTTTTACTTTACTTTTTGACTTATAAAAATGTAATGGGGAAAGGAACCGAGCTACAATTTCTTCCTCTAAAGGACAATTTAAAAACAACAACAAAAGAACTAGCAGCAATTCCACAGCCAACTTAATATTCGAAAAAGATGCCTTCCACCTCACTAACATCTTGGTGGAAAATTACAGGTGTCCCCCCTGCAATTTGGTAATCTAGACAAAATTTGGCTATTTAATTCTGTACCTGCCCTTAAACTCCAAGCTTAGGGCAAAATCTAGCTTTCTTCAAGGAAGGTGTGGGAGGATGTGGAGACACCTAATCTTCATTTTCATTAACCCAGATCTTTTGACAGGGTATTCTAAGTCCTAACATTTTTGGACAAGTGTGATTACACAATGTGATTAATGAGCAGAAGAGATCTTGAAATAAGCCACAGTCGAAGGGCTTGCCTGCTAAACTTCCCGTGGGCCAAACAAAAGTTGACTTTCCAACCTAAGGAATATATTGTACTTTGGGATGAAACAAGAATCTGCATATTCAACCCTAACAGAAAATCTAGAGTGGCATAGCTAAGAAGATCTCATGTCAAGATGTGAAGCTTGCTGCTTGCATTACTTCCCTCTAGATAGGGAGATCTGGGGGATGTAAGGAAGAGCTCACTGGACCCCAGATATGATACAGGGCTAGCTACTTTTACACAGACAAAGATGAAGAGGCAGCATGTTAAAGCAAACATTGTCATGCAGAGATGGGAAATACAGAAAATGAATTCCAAGCCCATCTTTTCCCAAAGAATCTGCGGAGAGATTTATAGACTCTTTTTGTTTCTGACCTCACCATTCCAGCCAACACAGGACATTGCTTGCAGTATAAACTTACCGTTGTCACATCTCCAATTGATGTTGATGCAGCGGCCATTGTGGCAAGTAAACTGGGTCAGAGGGAAGCACGTTGGATAGGCTGCAAAAAGAAATAAGGACATTTGCAGGCGCTATTGTATATCCAGGAAGTTAGGTGGTATCAGCACAAATGGATGAGATTGTTGTGGTATCACAAGCCATGAAGTTGGAGGAAGGGATTTTTCAGGGAGACGAGGGTTTCACTTGGTCTTCAAATGGTACCTGGAGGTCTATGCTCCAGAAAGTGTATGGAATTATTGTAAAACAGTTCTAAATATCCCCACATATTTAATAATCAGCCCCTTCCAAATTTCTATCATATTAAAACTACAATCCAGTGGTAATATTTTCATGCTCCTTAGCTCCGGGTAGGATCTCTCTTTAATGAGTTCCTTCAAATCTGTTGCTTGATTAGCTTTTCTAGGATTTTCCCAGGTACTGATACAATCAAAGACAGTTTTGTGTTTAGATATTTAATTATGTCTGCCTAAAATATGTATGAATGAGGGAGATACAGTTTTAGAGCGATGTGTAATATACAGCTCTACTTTTTAGAAAATAAATCCTGGATTTTAAACACATGAAAGAATCCACAGCCTTTCAAATGTACACTTCTCTCAGACCATATGGCTGGAGATTATGTACTATAATCATAACTGTGATTATAGTAATGTTGTTGTTACAACAAAGCCCCTGCTAGATTATGACTATCCATTCACTTAGCAATTCATCTACAAATGTAATAGACCAGAATCTATTTCCTCACTCACCACATGAGGCTGATTCATCAGAGCGATCCCCGCAATCATCATCCAAGTCACAGGTCCAAGAGATAGGGATGCAACGGCCACTGGCACAGGAGAATTGGTTGGTGGGACACGTGCGAGCTGGGAGAGCAGGCAAATAGCAGTGAATAACAGCAGAAACATTAAAAGAAAAATTGCACACCTCCTTGAATCATTCTAATGGTGGATAGAAAAACGTCCTCAACGTTAATATCAGATGACACAGAAATAGTTAAACGGGTTCTGTATTGAAACTGTCCAGCACATTCAAATACACACTCTGCAGATATGCAGAAACTATCCAGAATTTTGAGCTGTAATTCCACCACATCTAGAAAGATGGAGAAGTCTGATATACAGGTTCATTTAGATGACTTAGAATAGACTTGCAAAGTTGTCGTGAAGATCAAATGAAGGATAACTATCTAGTTAATTAGATGGATAACAAACGACCGTTACCAGAGCATGTGGAATTAGATTCATCTTCATTGTTGCCGCAATCATTATCCCCATCACACAGCCAGCGGTTGGGGATGCAACGATTGTTCTCACATTTGAAGCGGTCCGAAGGGCATGTGTGCTGATCTGCAGAATATCAAAGCAAGGAAGGCATCTTAGGACATCCCACAAAATGAGATCCTTCTTTCCTTCTATGTGTATGATAGCAAAGTGAACTCGTCCCTTGGATAAGTTAAGAATTTTGAGCCTTTGAGCCACATTCGAATGAGTTTTCCAATTGTGGTAGTGCCAAATTCAGAGATTTTATGGGAAATCTATACTATCTTTTTTTAATAGCACTATTGTTTTCACAACGTTTTCCAACTATTTGTTTGTTTGTTTTTTAAGAAAATTTGTTCAGATTGATTTTGATTGATAACACTAAGATATGCTTTACTAGAAGCACTAGAAAAGTCCATACTACTATGGACATACAGCTATTTGGATCCAGCATGAATGTACTTCCTGTAATTTGTCAATCATAAAAAAATTGCTCTACTTTTTCTTAGGCTCACATGGACCTTTTCTGCTTCACATCCCTAGAAATAATTGATTTAGTATGACACGTTTACATTCCATGTCAAAATAAGGCATATCTATAACCAGGGAATCCAATTTCTGGTAATAAAAATTCATTTATATTTTTCCAATCTATAATGTTTTCTAAAAAGCTGTCGTATACAATGGTCATTCAGTTGGTCGATTTAAGCCAGACTTTTCTACTCTAAGCATCAGAGGCATTGAAAGATCTCAGAAAAAGGAATGTTAACCATCAGTTACTAGACTTCTAAAGAGTAGAAGGCAAGGACTGAATCATTACATTCAAACTGTATTTTTTACTAACTTGGCCCTTTGTTTTTATTTGTTTCAGGAAAAAAGGCAACAGAAGGAACAGAGATGGGCAGAAAAGCTCTTGGGAGTATTACAGGTCCACAACCCACGGATTGCAGCCCACTACTGGGCCACGATTCATTTGGAGCTAGGCTATACAAGTGGCAGGCAAGTGCGCACAGTTACAGTTGCACCAATGGAGCTGTATGCACTCACACACACGCACCTACCACTCACACAAAACCATCCCCTTTCTCCCTGTGCCAGGCTGCCAAGCTGGAAAAGTTGGGGACAACTTATTCCAGTAGAATTTTGTACCTTGGATGCAACCCATTTTGTTTGATGCAAGACACACCTAGTCACCCTAGCCTAGATATATCTGAAGGATTTATCGCATCTGTCTCATGAGAGGATGGGAATGGTCAAGAACCCTGGTGTCCCTCAAGCAAATACATACGGCAGAGTTCGGGTGCCTCATCACTGTTGTCCAGGCAGTCATTGTCTCCATCACATTTCCATCGCTCCTGTATACATCGACTGTTCTTGCAAGCAAATTCCCCAGGTTGGCACTGTGGAGGTGGAACGTAAGATGGATTGGCTGGACAAGAAAGAACAAGAGAAGAGTGGTTATGTAATAAGCAAGAGGCAGCTTTGGAGTTGAACCAACCCCTCCTGTCAGATACTTCAATTCTGAGGTAACCTGCACCTATGGAATGGACAATGACTGGAAAAAAAAATAGGTATATTTGCTGCCAATCACTATAAACCAATTTCTCCCTTCCAAACCATCCCACTGGAGAGTCAGAAGAGGACTGAAGAGGAAATCCTCACCCCATCTGCGCGTGGCTAAATATAGAAAGAGAAACCAACCAAACACTTTGTGACTCTGTAGCTCAGTCAAAGCTAAAGTTGGTAATAAAAAGCAACCAGTTGATTTTAATAAAAGTGCCAAAAGAAAATAAGATTCTACCCACACATCACAGAAAAAAAGAAAAAATACCCATCTTGGTGCATTTCTGACTATAACGCCAAATAGCACAATTTTCAGCCTAGTCTGAGGCAACCCTCTCAGTTGGATTCCAGCCAACTCTTTCCAAAAGATTCAACTTCTTTCTGACCAAATCCCGCACCCCACCCCTTCTTTTGTTTTATTGGCTCTTGGAAGTCAGGTGATAACCTCTGGGTAGATAAGGCTGGCTTGTTCTTTCAAGGGCCAGCTGTTCCCCACTACAAGTGGGCATAAAGAGAGGAATAGAGAGGAATTTTTGTTAGGACAAATGTTAGGCTAACTACAGCAGTATTGCAATGTATGGAGGAAGAGTAGATCTGAACTATTTTTGCCTACCACAATCCAAATCTGATTTCTGGACTGGAATAAGAGCTCTGGACCTACCCTTCTTAGGTAACAGCAGCTCTTTAGATACTCCCTCTAAGTAGGAAGATGGAATTGTTATGTACTACAAACCCCAAAATACATTCAGTGGTGATGCTCCACCCCAACATTCCAATTTCACAGACCCCACATAAAACCAGTTGGGTGTTGTGGTTAAGGGGCTGGCCTAAAAACCAGGAGGCTGTGAGTTCTAGTCTTGCCTGAGACATACTGGACCAGTTACTCTCTCGCCCCAAGCTACCTCACAGGTTGTTGTTGTTGTGGAAGGAAAAGAGTATTAGATATGTTGCCTGTTTTGAGTTAGTTATAAAAATAATAAAGGTGTGATAAAAATCTAACCCACCCCCCTCCCGAATTAGGAATTTGAACATGCAAAGATCATATTAATGATGAATATGTACTAGTCCCTACAGATTGTATTATGTCAAAACAAGTCACAAATTTACTATATGTATCCAAGTTTGAAAATGTGAATGTTCTTAAAATAATTGCTTTGTGAAACATCACTATCAACATGACGTCGTACAGAAACTTTTGCTTGCTTTTATATCTACATAAAATAAATTCAGGCATGACAAAAAGTATTATACCCCAAGAGAAAGCAGCTGTATGGCTAATGTAAAACTGAGTTCCCCTGCTACATCTGTACACATGGAGCCTTCCATAAGAGTCAAACCCCTGCAAGATCTTGAATAGACAGCAGTTTGCACAGAATTTCCTACTTTATATTCAAACTATTTGCACAGATGTTTAGAACGTAGATTATAGGCTGGGGGCAAAATTACTTACGGATGCAGAAGCAACTTCCAGTATTGGACATCAGATTGGATTATTTTCAAGATTCCTTCCAACTGTTACATTTTAAGATTTACTTATTTTAATTACCTCTTTTGTGGGTGGAAATAGGGCTACATGCTTGTTGGCAGGCCCTTAACACTTTAAATAGCTAGCGTTCCTAAATATGTAAACCACGAGTAGGTAACATTTGAAGAATTGGAGTCTATAACCCAACTAATTGGAAGCCAAAGGAAGTCATCTGCATATAAGGTGGTTCCAGAAGACCTCCTGCTCCCACCTCCACTTGTTTTTTTTAAAAAAACATTCTCCTATGCCTTCAAAATTTGGCTCTTCTGCTGTCCATGTCAGAAGTATGGAGTTCAGGGCACCCGTAAGCAGGATGCTCGGGGGGGGGGGGGGGCTTTGTCATATGCACTCTTCAGATTTACCTCATTCTTTAATCAGTAGTTTGATATACAGAAATTAAACAAAGGAACCTTTTCTGTTGGAGGAAGAGGCAGTGATTGGGGGGGGGGGGGGGCGCCCCATTTATGGGGGGTTTGTTTTGCAAAGAAACATAGCTGGGGCAGAAAAAATGTGGCAACCTGATTTAGAAATCACAATAAAGTAACTAGCCTCAGCAAAAAAAACAAAAACCCAAACCCAAAACCATTCTTTCCAGTTTTGCTGACAAAGAATATGTTTGGCTATTATGGGTACTGGATGTTTTCTGTAAAAGTGTAAACAAGGGTGGAAAACCTCGTCCGATGAAATGGGTATATTCATCAAATAAATATATTCCCCAGTTTCATTTGTGGAAAGCTGCAAATTGACAGAGTAATGGCTTCGTCACCCATGTCAATCAGGTCACATATTGTTCCTGTCAAGAGCATCGAAGAATTCAAAGCATCTGTGATGATCAATACAGGATAGTCTTGTCTCCAAGAAGGTCTTAATAAAATGATACTGCCTATTAAAGTCCAGATTATTATATTTTTAGGAATGCTGAACTTCTGGCAACCTCTTATCTCCTTTCACATTTACTGAATTATTACATGGATTGTTACCTTGGCAAGTGACAGAATCTGGTCCCAAAATCTGGTCTTCTGCACAGGCACAACGTCTGCCATTTGGGACAGCCAAGCAAAGACTACTGCAGCCTCCATTGTTCACCCGGCAACTGTTAGAGCCAACTAAAAAATTGACAAGAAGAAGCAATGAGAGAAAAACTTCCTAAGACCCGCCAAAAGCAAGGAAAAAGAAAAGGCCTGGAAGGCTCTTGTGCGATCCAGTCCCAAGTAAAAGAGATCTGGAAGTGCACTGGAAAAGCAAAGCAGGATTAATAAATTAAAATTGCCTTTTGCAGCAAATAGCCTGACCAACTCAAAGAGTTTTGCAGGAGCTTAAAAACCAATAAATTCCATTTTCCACCTAAACTTTCATGAGTCAGAATTCATAATGCTCAAGTCACCGCTAAGTCTTCGATTTTAATCGCAACATGCCCGGACCTGTCCTTCTTTCCATTCCTCCTCATAGCCTCAAGAAAATAGAAGTGCTCTTAGTTCAACAAATACTGGTAGTCCCCAACTTACAATCACAATTGAGCCCAAAATTGATGTCATTATGCAAGACATCTGTTAATTGAATTTTGACCCGTTTTACAACCGTTCTTGCCAGGGTTAAGTGAATCACTGCCGTTGTTAAATTGGTAATACGGTTGTTAAGTGAATCTGGCTTCCCCATTGAGTTGGCTTGTCTGAAGGTCACAAAAAGGGATCACATGACTCCAGGACACTCCAACCATCACAAATATGAATCAGTTGCCAAGCATCTGAATTTTGATCATGGGACCATGAGGATGCTATAAAACGGTGGTTAAATGAGAAAAATGGTCATAAGGAATTTTTTCTAGTGCCACTGTAATTTTGAACCATCACTAAACAAATGGTTGTAAGGCGAGGAGTAACTGTACTACATGTATAGAGTGGCTATAGTGGTTTTTTAAGTGGGGGGGCTGCACGTACCTCCCCAAGCTTCATTTTCACTGGCAGAGGACCGTAGGAGGCTTGGGAGCACGTTTTCGCTCTCAGAGCACTCGGGCCACCATAGGCGCCCCCCGACTCAAGTGATGTCAAGCTGGCCACACCCACCACGGGCCCCTGAGGTCAAACATAACCCTGAGGCGGCCCTCAATGCAATCAAGTTTGACACCCCTATGTTAGAGCATGTTTCACACAATCAGCATGCTGACTTTTCTCAACCATAGTTTTTTTTTAAGTTTCAATGCATTTTTGCCTTTCTCCTCACTTTAAACACCTTTCTCTCTTTCTTTCTCTCTCTCTCTTTCTCTCTCTCTCCCTCCCTCCCCCCTCCTCTCTCTGCTACTTTTAAATGTTTTCCCAGGTGCAGAGGCACTCCCGATTCATGAGCGTATGGTCACACTGCTGGGAAATGCATATAAATCAAATCTAACTGCAAGGGACCATGCATCATTTTCATGAGACAAGAGAAGGTTTGGGTACTATGCAAGGTCTTTGCAATGTTCTCAAAGCAACATCCAGCTTTTCACACCGTTAATAGAAAAATTAAAAGCATCAGAGTAAAAGAACAAAATGCTGTTTCCTTCCTGGTCTTTGACGAAAAGGAGCAGCAACAATATGGGTGGTCACAATCATATTAAAAATGAAGAAATAGTCTCCTTCAGCACTAGCATTAAGTTTAGACAGACTATTTTTAACCTGCCACAATGCATTCACAAGCCTAAGGAGAAGGAATAGGATTTGTTCTTACTTGACTTATGTAGAAAGTATGTTCTGTTTTAGCAAGTGCCACTATCATACTAAACCCATAATGGTTACTGACATTTGTACATAAGAGCTGACCCCAAAAGTAAACAGCTCTGATCCAGCTGATTAATCTGAGTTTTAATACAAGAGCCCACTTCTCTGTATGTGAAGGAAACCATTAAAGATGTCTTAATTTATGGATAGCTTTTTTCCAACAAAAATTCAAGGCTTTCTTCTAATGCTCTTGGTCTCACATGCACATTAATCCAAGTGGCCACTAAAAATAAAGCTTTGCACTGCAGCAAATACCATGCTATGCATCACGATGTGCACCATAGTTCTGTTCTGAACCCTGTACGGATCCCTAGAGAAAGTGTGTTACAGTTCACTTTTAAGGTAGGTTATTTTTTCGTTCAGGGTCCTATTCACTTTGTAAATTTCTGCAAAGTACATTTTGACAAGTGCTCATCTTGGTTTAATACCTTGCTGTTGCTGAGCATCGTACATGCGAATCTCAAAAAGCGGTGGTCGTTCATTGCGCAATAGCGTCACAGCCTTGGTTTTCTGGTCCAAACGAAAGATGCTACCACTTCGGTACTCTGTCCAGAAGAGGAAATGGTCATAGTGGCACAATCCAAAGGCATGACTCAATTCACTTCCATCATAAACAACCTGCAGCAGGAGAAAGATACACACAAGTAGAACATTTAAGACAAATAATCTACATTTTAAAAATGCATTTTTTTTGACAGCACAGCTGTAGGGCCAAAGCAATAGGAGAAGGTTGGATAAAGACAGAGGGAGATCATAAATATATAGAAGAAAAGAAAAAGAGAGAGGGGAAGAGCTAGTTTGGTCTAATGCAGGGGTGTCAAACACAAGGCCCGCGGGCCAGATGCGGCCCACAGGGTGCTTAGATCTGGTCCACCTGGCCGTCCTGGAAACAGCGGACAAGCCTGTGGTGCCTCTGCTAAAACAGAACTTGGGAGGGCTGCATTTTCACTGGCAGAGGGTTGCAGGAGGCCATCCCAGCCGAAAATGGAGCTCGGGAGCCCGTTTTCGCTGGCAAAGCGCTCGGGCCACCACAGATGCCCCTGATATGAGTGACATCAAGCTGGCCATGCCCACGCCCATCCACCTACCCCCGTGGTCAAACACAAGCCTGATGTAGCCCTCAGTGAAATTGCGTTTGACACCCCTGGTCTAGTGGTTAAGGCAACAGGCTAGAAAGCTGGAACCTCTGTGTTCTAATCCCACTTTAGGCATGAAAACTAGTTGGTGACCTTGGGCCAGTCACTCTCAGTCCAACTCATCTCCCAGGATTGTTGTTGTGGGGGAAATAAAAGAAGGAAGGTTTGTTGGATAGGTTTACACCTTCAACTTTTTAATAAAAATAATAAAGGCAGGATATCAATAAATAAAAATAAATATTGCAGTGAAGAAAAACTGTGTTTTAAATAATCAAACTACTAACCCAAATGTTTTTGTAACAGCAATTCTAATTTTTGCTGGGATTATAGTGGTGAGGCTAATGCCACATTTATCGTATTTGAGAATTTTCCCCCATTTTTATTTTGTCCTTGAGTTAATGTCGACACATGATGACAGTGTGATTTTGGAAGTGGTTTGCCATTGCCTCTTTCCTAGGGCTGAGAGAAAGTAACTGGCCCACGTCACCCAAGTAGCTTTGTACTTACACCAAGACTAGAACTCACAGTCTCCTAGTTTCCAGCCTGATGCCTTAACCATTACCCAAAACTAGCAACATCAATGATCTAACTGGACTTCCAAGTGATCTAAAACCACAGCATTTCCTTCTTGTTGGATAAAAGGCTTACAAATTGCTGAAATACCTGCCAAGCACACATGTACCTGGTATGTCATTAAAAAAAAAAGCAATTAGATTAATTGTGCTTGTAAAAAAAAAAAGGTCTAAAGGCAGGGCAAATATTGGCCTGAGCAAGGGGGATGTTTCTTAAGACTTAATTGTTTTTGATATATTGGAAACATTTGTAGAAGTTTACATAAACCATAAGCCCAGTGTTTAACAACTGTGAACAAAACAGCCGGCAAATAAAAATGCAATTAAAAAGTCAGCATGCTTAAACTGTTTACAATTTTCGGATGAATAATTTGGAGGGTGTGGGGGTGTGGAAGAGCAGGTTGCTTGAGAAAATCGCAGGCACCTGTGCTGTCTTATTTCTCTCCCATTTGAGCCTTTTTTATCCCCAAGCGTCAGCACAGCAGAGTTGCCAATAAAGCAGCAACCCCTTCACAGGTATCAGAGGATTACCACCATCCTAAATATACTAACAATTGTACATAGTTCAAACCATTTCAAAATGTATTCATTGCTGCTGCTCCTCGCTCTGAGTACTTGCGATCTATAACCATTTTTTTTTCCTTTGGAAGCTGTACTCTCATCCTGAAGCAGGGGTGTCAAACTTGATTTCATTGAGGGCAATTGTATTTGACCTCGGGGGGGGTAAGGGGGTGGGAGTGGCCAGCGAAACATCACTCGTGTTGGGGGTGCCTGTAGTAGCCTGAGTGCTCTGCCAGTGAAAACGGGCTCCTGAGCTCCATTTTCGGCTGTGACGGACGCCTTCAACCCTCTGCCAGTAAAAACGGAGCTCAGGAGGGCTTCCCAAACTCCGTTTTCACTGGCTAAGGCACCACAGGCCAGTCCTTCACTGTTTCCAGGGCATCCCCATGGGCCAGATCAAAGCACCCCATGGGCAGGATCCAACCTGCCGGCCTTGAGTTTGACACCTCTATCCTAAAGTGAGTGGCTCCAACAATTCAACTGCATGCATACAGATACAGTCATTTAAAAAGATATCGATAGGGCACTGAGAAAAAACATTTTGGTAACTATTAGAATCATTCCATTTGGGTTCAAGCCCAGAGAGAAACAAAGCTCATACAAAAACTTATTGAGAATGAGAAAGAACAACTAGTGTGGACAGAAGTAGAGACAAAACTGGCACTGACCTTGCGTTCTGTGCCATCCAGCATGACCGTCTCAATCCGGTCATAGTAAGCATCAACCCAGTACAACATCTTAGAGGGAATGTCCAGGCTCAGCCCATTGGGCCACAGCACAGTCTTGGAGGTGATGAAGACACTGCGGTTGGTGCCATCCATCCAAGCCTTTTCTATCTTTCCTCTTTTACTGTCCTTTGGGTCTTCTTCCCAATCTGTCCAGTACATCCATCTAAGTGAGAAAAGACAGGAAAGTCAACGTGTGTGCAGTTTTAAAAAAATCACTCTTCCTTTGTTCATCCATAGATAGCTGTTCCGTAGTCATTTTCTTAAAAATTTGGATTTCAAGAACCCTCTGCAAATACTTGATCAAGAGAAGCATTTTGCAAAAGAATGAAAGTTCAGTCCCAGGTCAGCTCTTTCACTTGTGCCTTGTTCATAGATTCAGTGTTCAGTTCTTGATAGTCTGCTTCGCTATACCTCCAAGCGATGTAAGAAAAACTGGTATCAAAGCCATACAGAAAACAAGGGTATTCTGTCCATCCTTTGAAATCACTGAACAAGATTTTATTATCAAGAGAAGATAAAACAATAACATATAGGCAGTGTTCCTCAAATGTGGAAACATGGAATACTAATATATCTTCCAAACATAAGAGAATGCCCATTAAATGTTGCAGAACAAAAAAGTTAACCATTAATGCATATCATCATCATCATCCTTTAAATAGTTTCTTCTCCCCAATGTCCTTGCTTCTACTTCCTCAAGTAAATTTTCTTTACTGGGTAGTATCAAAACAAAGATAGCTCCTTCATTTATTCCTTCTTCCATCCAGTGAAGAAGAAAATTGCTAGCAGCACATTTAAAAATTTCTTGGAAGAAGTAACTTCCGGGCAAGCAATGGCAGACTTTCTACCCTGGATGAAAAACGCTTTAAGGATGACAAGAAAAGGGTTTTGAAAGAGCAAAAAGGGGATCAGAATTTTGATTTTGGAAAGTTAAAGGCTAGGATATAGGGCTAGGTAGACCTGAAAGAAGATTTCCTGTAGGGTTTTTCAAATTTTATTTTAAGTATATGAAAGTTTTGAAATTAACCATAAGAAATCCTCTCATGGGAAAGTTTTCCTGATTGGAAAATAAACATACAGTAAGAGGGACTTTGAAAATTAACCAGAGAGAACTAAGGATTACAATTAAAGAAGGGGCTCAATAATACAGTGGAGCAAAATATTTGATTATAGAAGGAATTGAGGCTGTTTGGGAACTATACACTCAGAAATCACAAGATTGTCTAATACTATAAAGATGGGTTTAGAAGAGAATATAGAAGAATAGTGGTTTTTTTTTAACTGGATAAGAGAGAAACTGATTGGAATGTGGATTTGAAAATGGATTTTAAAAAGCCAAATTACAAGTGTGGTATGGAAAAGGATGTCACAATGGATTTACATTTGAAATCAGCTAATGTCTTAACAACTAAAGAAATAATAAATCAGAAGAATTATTTGGAAAATCTTCTTATCTTGGGTTTACAAAGAGGACGTGTTAAGCTACTGAAGTTGTTTCTGAAAGGAAAAAAAGGGAAAATGAGAAGAAATCAACTGGTGAGAAATTATTTGATATGAGTAAAGATCGAGCTTAAAATAAATCAACAGAAGAAATATAATTTTTGTTGTTTTATATCTTGAAGATAGTGATCACTTGAAATACAAAATGGATTTAACTAAGGTTAAAGAGAGAGAGAGAGAGAGAGAGAGAGAGAGAGAGAGAGAGAGAGAGAATTAATTAATTAATGGTAGTTTTTAATAGAATTTGCTAATTGGACTCAATGATGAGAATGTATAGTTTGATTATTAAGGGATGAAATACTAAATTCTTTATACTTGTCTTGGAGGAAGAAAGAAATCACATATACACACACACACAAACACACACACGTTATATATAATTTCTTTAATTGTTTTTTCTCTCTTTTAACTTCTCTTTTTCTTTTCTTTATTTTTTGTATTAGTTTTTAATCTCTGTATTTGTAAACTTTAATAAGATATTTTTTAAAAAAGAATTTCCTGAAAGAACTATAACAGAGGTTGTTTGAGATCTACACAGCCCCAACCTTGCCTGCTTGCTATAAGAGAGATGGATTTTTTTTTTTTTTGACAAGGGGAGATTTACAACAGAAAAACATGCATGCCCATTTAGCAATCTTCCACAGATGCATTTAATTATAAAGAAAATACAGTTATGGGAGATCAAGCATGGACTTCCCAGCATAATGTAGTAATGTGGTCCTAAATTACTCTCCTGTCTTCTGCCCCATTTTTCTTGTCACTGTTATGTACTGCCTGTACAGTCATATAATTGAATGATTTAGACCTTTTCCAAGCTTATGTTAAGGCAAACATAAAAGTGTAAATTATAAAGATTACAGCAACATGGAAACCGCTGGAGACAGAATTCCATTAGAGGAAGAATGAGGATAAAAATGTCATACATGAATATTAGAAAGCTGGAAAGTAAAAGCAACGGAAATCTGCATAATAGATGCCTTGCTTCCTGGAGGTTTGCTTGACACCCCTAGAATGCACTGTTTCTGTAGACACATTCTGCTCCATTTCCCTGATCCCCTTAGGATCCGCAGCCAGCAGAGACCCACCCATTCAAGGGATCCACCACAATGGCTCGCGGGTGAATCATCCTTTCTTCAATGAGTGTCTTCCTGGTCTGGGCAGCTTTTTCTAGCCTGGCAACGCTGATGGTTTTCTTGGGTCCATCATCAGTCCAGTAGAGATTGTTCCCCATCCAGTCCACAGCAATGCCTTCTACATTATGAATGCCTGGAAGAAGATAAAGTGAGAAACGTGCTGTATATGATCAAGCCAGGCAGATGAGGACGTGCCACTGAAGGTTGAACGCAACACGATAATACAAGCAGAGCTACGTGCTTTGTTATACGATCGCTACGGAAATTGACAAGGCATGACAGACACACTCATACCACCTTATTATCTCTTTTGAAAGATCAGAGATTCAGTGGCAGAAATCAGTCTTCAGATTTGTACCTGCAAATATTACAAGGAGTCTAAGAAGCATTTAGAAAAAAAATAGTTGAAGCCATACAATGCAATTCTTTCTGGTACATAGTGACCAGCTTATATTCAGAATAAAAGTTATGTCCCCAAATCCCAATTTACATATCAAACCACATTCCCTCCATTCTAGACAGCTTATGCACCGGAAACAAATTCCTTGTGTGTCTAATCACACTTGGCCAATAAAGAATTCTATTCTTCTAAGGTCCCATGTACCACTTTAGAGGAAGCCATTCTAACATTTAACATGCTAATGCAGACATCCAACGAGCAAAAACTTTGCACACGTACCGTCTTTCAGAATTGTTTCCCTATCTGTTCCATCAATTTTCTGCCGTCCAATCAGGTAGCTGGTAGTGTCAGCAAAGTAAATGAAGCCGGTCTCTGCATGGAAATCAAGGGCTCTGGGGTTCATCAAGTTTTCAATGGGGATCATGTGTTCATCAGGCACTTTGGCTCCCATGTCCATTCCACGAATGATGCCTGGCCGACCTTTGCCATAGACAAGGAAAAGCTCATGTTCTGGCTCTGGAAGATAAAGAGAGGAGGGAGGAGGGAGGAGGAGGAGGTTACTTTTGATTTCTACCCAAACTCTCAGAAAAAAAAAGCAAGATGTCACAATGATAAATATAAAACAAAAAGAACCACTAGAAGATAACCCATAAAAAGAATAACAGTGACAAGAGGACAAGCCATGCAAGAAGCCTTTGTGAGACATTCTACTTCAAACTCCAACAAAAATCAGGTTTTCAACCTGGACATGAGGGAATGGATGCCTCCTTCTTTTTCTCTCAGCCACTGATATTCAGTAGTACAGTACTATCTCTGAATCTGGAGGTTGCAGAAAGCAATATAACCAAAACAAAAAGAGATGCTGGCAGATATAGCTACCCTTCCCCTTTCAGAGAGGACTACAGGTAATCCTCAACTTGCAACTTTTGTTTAGTGACCATTCAAAGTTACAATTGCGCTGAAAAAAGCGACTTATGATCATTTTTCACACAACTGTTTTGCAGCATCCCCATGGTCATATGATAAAAACTCAGACACTTGGCAACTGGCTCATATTTATGACGGTTGCAGTGTCCCAGGGTCATGTGATCATCTTTTGCTACCTTCTGACAGCAAAGTCTATGGGGAAGCCAGATTCACTTAACAACTGTGTTACTGATTTAACAACTGCAGCGATTCATTTAACAACTGCGGCAAAAAAGGGTCAAAACACACTTAACAGTTGTTTCGCTTAGCAACAGAAATTTGCTACAGGTAATCAACTGTGGTCCAAACTCAAGGACTATCTGTACTGTATTGGCAAATTGATATTCATTTAAAAACAATGAATTCAGATAATCGGTTCTGGAAAACATAGACAATAAATAAAAAAGGTAGTGTTTCCTATATTCTAAGCCCCAAAACAGTTAACACCCTTAGTTGATATTTTTTTTGTTTCAGCTTCTGACACATTTTATTGCCAAGCTGATAGACTGCAATTCACCTCATCACCAGGCATTCTGGCTATTGTTTCCTGGGATTCTGTAGTTGCTCACATTAAAATAATTGTAACAGCAAGAATATTATTATCATTTAAACTCGAGGCACAGAGATAATTTGGCATGATGTATAAAGTCATATCCTCAGTTGGAATTAAATACTCTGATTGCAATATTTGGAATGCTCTAGTTACATTTTGAGAATTATTATGAGCAAAAGAAGAAAGCCAGGTGGGATCAACAGGGCAATAGATATGGTTATATTTACAGTGATTTTGGAAATGCCTACAGCAACACTAATAAGAAATACAACTTTTCCCAATTATTTGTTTGAACAAAAACTCACCATTTACAACAACTTCATGGAGATTGGGGCTACTGTGCAGCTAGATTGGCATGGCCCCCCAAAAATCACAAGTATAAGTCCTTTGTATGAAAAATACCCCAAATTGAGTAGAGAACTAGAATCATGCACGTGTATTTTTGAAATCTGAAATTTATTAAAAACTTTAAATTGATTAAAAAAGAATATTTGAACCAAGTCAAAACATCAAATTTTAATATACTAATGGCCAGAACAGCTAGCACAATATTCTTTGCCTTTGCTTTGCTGTTTTGATCACGGTTTGGGGGAAAGGTGTGGGGAGAGAATATAAATTTTCATACATTTAATCTTCCCAAATTGTTTCTCAATTTATATCAGATTAATCTGGGAGGGAGGTGCGGTGGGTATCTCTTTCCCTATGGAAGACATTGCTGCTGTGATAGAAATTGTTATTACTCCTCCAGTGATATCTGAATTCAAGTTTTTAATGAATAGGCCTTCATGAAAACACTCCTGTCAGGGTCTCATTTATAGCTTGTGGCTGTAATTTTCCTTCCGCAAATCAATAGAGGGCCCTCAAATTAAGTCTCTCTGAAGTGCATGAATCTTCAGTATTGTGTTTTCTTTTTGTTTCAATCCCTACTCTTCTTCATTCCCCAACCCTTTGTTGAGAAAACCCCTCCCTTCTTGTTTGGATCAACTCCAGCTCTTCCTTCTACAGCTACTTCTCACTGGTTTCTTCTGTCCCTTTTCCACACTGAAAAATAGAGGTGTGAACCTGGGAGAAGAGGACCGACCGATCAAGTAACATAACTCTCATCTCTGTCTGCTGCTGATAACAGCTATGTTTGCAAAATACCCTTAGTAATTCAGATGTAAGATATATGTAAGATATCTTTCAGCTGGGATTATTTTACACTTTCCCAAAAAATTAAAATCTATTTTCTTTTTTCTTTTCCTTCCTTCCTTCCTTCCTTCCTTCCTTCCTTCCTTCCTTCCTTC